GAGTATCCTAAACTATTCCTTTATAATTAATTTTTACAAAGTAATGTCTGACAAGTAGAAATTTCTTATAGTGACATTTCATTAGATCTTGTTTTCCCCTTGAGTAGAAGTCTCACTCTGTCACCCAGGCTGCAGTGCATTGACACGCTCATGGCCACCGCAAACTCAATCTGCTGGGCTCAGGCGATCCTTCCGCCTCAGTTTTCCAAGCAGCTGGAACCACAGGCACACACCACCATGCCCGGCTAGTTTTTGTGATTTATTGTAGAGACAAGGTCTCATCAAGTTGCCCAGACTGGTCTTGAGCCCTTGGACTCAGGCAATCCTCTTGCCTCTGCCTCTGAAAGTGCTGGGATTACAGGCATGAACCACTGTGCCTAGCTTCATTAGATTTTGTTTGTTTGTTTGTTTGTTTGTTTTTTGAGTTGGAGTCTCACTCTGTAGCCCAGACTGGAGTGCAGTGGCCGCTCCCGGCCACCGCAGCCTCGCCTGCTGGGCTCTGGGGATCCTTCCGCCTCAGCCTTCCGTGTAGCCGGAATTACAGGCATGCGCTACCATGCCCAGCTAATTTTTGATTTATTGTAGAGATGAGGTCTCGCTGCCCAGGCGGGTCTTGAACCCGCGGGCTCAGGCAATCCACTCACCTCAGCCTCCCAAAGCGTGGGATTACAGGCTGAGCCACAGAGCCCGGCTATTAGATCTTAACTCATTGAAAATATTTTGAAAAGTATTGATTTAATTGAATCCAGGTAGATTGATTTCTGGTAATCTCATAGTTCAAGATTAGTGCACCAAGTGTTTGCATCAGCTAGTAAATTCTGCAGCCTATCTCTAGCAAATGTGAATCAACTTCCAGGAAGTCTTTGGATCTTACCCAATTTATGCTTGAATTCTTTGATTGTTGCACTACTCAAATTATCAAAGGACTCAATAACTTTTAAACATCAGCACAGATACAAAATGATAGTTCACCTTGTACATCTTAGAATTGTATTTGTTCCCACAGAAAGAGCTCCATGCCCTTTATCAACAGAAACTCAATTTCTTTTTCTTTCTTTTTTTTTTTTTTTTTTTTTAGTTGAAGTCTCACTCCATCGCCCAGGCTAGAGTACAGTGGCACACTCACAGCCATCCCAGCGTCGACCTGCTGGGCTCCTACGATCCTTCTGCCTCAGTCTTCCAAGTAGCTGGAACTAAGGGCTCGAACTACCAGGTCCAGCTAATTTTTTAATTTATTGTAGAGATGAGGTCTTGCCAAGTCTTGCCTCAGTCTCCCAAAATGCTGGGATTACAGGCTAAGCCACCAAGCCTGGCCAAAAACCAATTTCTTGATTGGCTAATTGATGAGAAATGGGGGGGGGGTTAGAAGCAAGCAGAAAATATACTCATCCATCTTCCATGTGCGATGTTAAGCCTGGCCTGGCTAAGTAGATAAAAAGAATATGATATATGGGAGGCCAAGGCAAGAGGAGTGCCTGAGTCCCGGGATTCAAGACCAACCTGAGCAACTTGGCGAGACCTTGTCTCTACAATAAATCACAAAAACTAGCCGGGCATGGTGTTGTGTGTATCTGTAGTTCCAGCTGCTTAGAAGGTTGAGGTGGGAGGACCACCAGCAGGACGAGGCTGCAGTGGCCATGAACGTGCCACTGCCCTCCAGCCTGGGTGACAAGAGTGAGACTCCAACTCACAAAAGAGTATGATAAAGCTAGGGTCTGAAATCTCTCTCTCCATCTCTCTCTCTAGTCTATCATCTATCTATTTATATTATCTATCATTTATTTATCTATCATCTATCATCTATCATCTGTTTATCCATCTATAATCATCTATCTATCATTGACTATTTTTTCTGTTGGTCACAATCTAGCCAGAAAGAAAAGAAAAGCAGATTTTCTTTAGCATAAAGCTTACTTGGAATTTCTTCTAATTTTCCTATTTTGTTTCTTCTTGTAAAAAAAAATTCAACAAAACCATTTAAAATGTATTTATTGGTTTCCCACGATGTGCTAATCACCTTAATGCTAAACAAATATGGCTTCTGCTTTCATGGATCTTTTATTTCAGTGAGAAGAGAGAGAAAGAGAGACAATACACAAATAATTGTTTTAGATCATGATAAATGCTATGAAAACAATAAACAAGGTATCACAGAGAGTGGCTGGGGACCACATTAATTGTGTGGTCAAGAAAGGCCTCTCTAATCTGACAGCAACTGAAGTGTGAGACAAGAAGCGTGAACACCTGGAAGAACAGTGTTCTAGAAGAGGGAACACAATTGCAAAGGCCCCAGGTCCAGAACAAACTCACCATGCCCCAGGGACAACGTGAATATTAATTACTAATATTGAAATATGTGCTTACATGAAGACTCACAAGGCAAGATCCCTGTCTTAATGGAGCTCTGTATTCAAGGGAGACATAAGTATAAAGATCAAAACATAGCACAGAGCTACACTGCAGTGACAGAGGCATGGACAAGCTGAGGAATAAAAAGAGTAATTATCTAGGGTTTCAGGGAAGGCTTCATGAAGGAGGTGACGTAAACGCAGGATTTTGAAATATCAATGAAATTGATTGTTGTGCTAGGAAACAGCATACAGGGAACACTGAGTACAAAGGCCACACTAAAATTCGGTAGAAGAAAGTGAGGGACATAGGCCAAGCCATGATGGCCCTTATAATCTATGCATGATGGGCACATCAAAAGGCTGTGAAGGAGCCATGGAGTTAAATTTGGGCTTTAGATGACTCTCTTCGGGATGTCTGTGGGTGAACACACTCGGAGGGCTCTAGAGCCAACAAGAAAGAGGAAATGAGGTTCCTCGCAAAGGGGTTCAGAGAGAGGTAAGAAAGCTGAGGTCGAAGGAACTGATAAAATGGGCAAGGATTGTTCACTGTTGAGTTGCCAGTCACCTTCAGCGCCTGGCTCATTGGGGGGCATCAATACACACTTGTGGAATGAATGAACGAATGAAAATGAGTCCATGGTGACTGACTGGGTGTGACAGCATGATGCATGATCAACAGGCGTCATAAGCCCTTCATTGATAGACATCAACAGACGGATTGAGCACTTATGTCCATTTTTCGATTTGTTGTCTTAATCCTAACAACCTTAGGAAGTAGGTATTATTTTTATTTTTGAGTTGGAGTCTCACTTCTGTCGCCCAGACTGGAGTGCAGTGGCACGTTCCCGGCCACCGCAGCCTCGATCTGCTGGGCTCCGGCGATCCTTCCGCCTCAGCCTTCCAAGTAGCTGGAACTACAGGCATGCAATACCACGCCCAGCTAATTTTTTTGATTTATTGTAGAGATGAGGTCACGCCTGCCCAGGTGGGTCTCGAACCGGCAGGCTCAGGTATTTTTATTTTCACATGAGAAAAACCTGAGGCTCAGAGAGTAAATGTCCCCAGCCTGAGTGTTGCTGGGGGAAGGAGAGGAGAGGTGGGTGGTGGAGAAAAGAGAGACAGAGAGAGAGAGAGAGAAGAGAGGCAGACAGACAGTCAGAAAGAAAGAGGCCTCAATACTTGTCCAGGTTCTTTTTTTTTTTTTTTTTTCCTTGAGTTGGAGACTCACTCTGTAGTGCAGTGGCCGCTCCCGGCCACCGCAGTCTCGACCTGCTGGGCTCAGGCGATCCTTCCGCCTCAGCCTTCTGAGGAGCCGGAATTACAGGTATGCGCTACCACGCCCGGCTGATTTTTTTGATTTATTGTAGAGATGAGGTCTCTTCAAGTTTCCCAGGCGGGTCCCGAACCCGTGGGCTCAGGCAATCCACTCACCTCAGCCTCCCAAAGGCGCGGGATTACAGGCTGAGCCACCGAGCCCGGCTTGTCCAGGTTCTTGACTTTGCTGCAAGAAAGAATTCTAGCTGGGTACTGTGGCTCACGCCTGTAATCCCAACATTGGGAGGCAGAGGTAAGAGGACTGCCTGAGCTCAGGGGTTCGAGACCAGCCTGGGAAACTTGGTGAAACTTCATCTCTACAATAAATCCAAAAATTTGATTGAACACCGGGTGTGGTGTACATGCTTGTAGTTCCAGTTACTTGGAAGGCTGAGGGGGAAGGATCGCCTGAGCCTAGCAGGTCGAGGCTGCCGTGGCCTTAAGCGTGCCACTGCACTCCAGGCTGGGGGTCGGAGTGAGACTCCTACTCAAAAAAACAACACACAACAACAAGAAATTCTAGAACAAGTCACCAGGCTGGCGAGCAGCATAGAGTTTATCAAGGAGAAAAGACACGTTTAGAAGGGGAGGAAAAGAAGCACCCTCTCTCTCCAAGGGAGGGGAGTGTGGACAGGCTCAGAAGGAGCCCTGCTTTCATCTCCTCAGCCTTCAGGGAGGAGGCTAGGAGGGGCAAGCGTCGCGAGGGCAGCCCAGGTGATCGAGAAGGCGAAGGGCCTGCTTTGCTCTGCTGACTCCAGCCTTCAATACCCTGGAGGCGTTTCCGTAATTCTCAGCGCCTGTCTGCCCGCTCTGTGCAAGACTAAGCAGAGGTGACACTCTCCTGCACGTCCCAGCCGGCCTTCCGGGCTGCAGCGCGGGTCGCAGACTCGACTCGAGCGGGCGCGACTTGTGGCCGAGTGCGCATGCTCAAAACCGACTTTTTAAGCTCTCGGTCCAGAGACACCGGGAACGAAATGATTGGGCTATTTCATAAGAGAAAGAAAAGTCGTTAACTCTCAACAATGGGAGAGTTAAGTGGGGCTCCAGAAAGTTCCTGGCTATGCGTTGTCCCGGGAGGATAAGAAACACGCGTAACAACGGCCCAAATTCGAGCCGCCCCTAGCGACACAGGGAGGGGGCGGGCTTTCAGCCCGCCGCGCCTGCGCAGCCGCAGTGCAGCACCGGAGCGCCGCGGCCTGCGGGCGGAAGACCGAGGGACGTACAGGGGAGGGCGGGGCCGACAGACGCCGGTGCGCGCGTCTATTCCGAGGTTGTTCGCTCTTAGACGCCGTGGGCAACGTCGTACGCTACTTCCTGGGGTCGGTAGACAGTGCTTCCGGGTCGCGGTCATTTTGCTCCCGTATCTGGGCGACTCCAGGACGGCGGGTCGCCGTCCGCCCCCTCCCTTAGACCGCGGCCCCGTGCGTTCTCCTCCCTCCCTGCCACCCCGCGTCCCCGTCTGGGCCTTCTGCCCTTGGTCGCCTGGGCTCGCCGCGCCGTCGCCTGCCGCTGTCGTCGGGAGGTGGGTGAGGTGACGCAGAAGGCCCGTGCTTTTCACCGCTCGCCCCTCGCCCTCGCCGCCTGCACCTTCCGCCATTTCCTGCCTGCGCGGGGCTTCGGGCTACTGCGTGCGGGCTGCGGCGAGGCGGGGGCTCGTGTCTAGGGTGTGATCCGGGCGGGTCGCGGTGGGGGAGGAAAAGGCGCGGGGCTGTCGCTTAGCGGGGCGGCCTCAGGCCGAGGGGCCAGACCCGTTCTGGATTGTGGCACGAAGAGGCTCGGCATCTTGTTTGGGCCTCGCCGGTCTCCGCGATCTATGGGCTTTTTAGGAAGGTGCCCTTGCGGGAGTTCCTAATGAGTTTTTTTTTTAAGGGAAAAGTGGTTCCCCGGGCAGCACAGTGCCCCGTGGGTGCGGCGCACCTGCTTTGTCCCTTTCCCTGCGCCCCAGTGACGGCGAAGGGCGCGTCCTCCCGTGCGTGCCATGGACCTCGTCTTTACAGTGGGGATGGTCCTGGTCCGGTGTAGACGTCCTGCAGTTAGCTAATCCGTTGGTCTGTAAGCCCCTAGAGACGGGTGAAAACAAAAACCAATTAAAAAAATAAAAGCGTATATTCTTGGGATGTTACGCATAATTTTTTCCTTGGGAGGAAGGAGATTTGGAGAGTTCCAAGCTTGTTGTTGTCTTTGCACCGCAGGGAGAAAGTCTGACCTCTTTGTTCCTCCAGTTTATCGTTTAATACTGCTTTGTGGGCGGGCGGTATGTTTCCTGATGATTATCTCAATTTTTTTTTTTTTTTTGAGTTGGAGTCTGTGTTGCCCAGGCTGGAGAGCAGTGGCATGCTCACGGCCACCGCAGCCTCGACCTGCTGGGCTCAGGAGATCCTTCCGCCTCAGCCTTCCAAGTAGCTGGAACCACAAGCTCATGGCACCACGCCCCAGTAATTTTTTTATTTATTGTAGTGACTAGGTCTCGCCAGGTTGCCCAGGATGGTCTCAAACCGCTGGACTCAGGCAATGCTCCCACCTTTAACTCCCAGCACTTTGGGAGGTCGAGATGAGAGGATTGTTGAGCCTGGGGGTTCTAGACCAGCCTGGGCAACTTGGTGAGACCTCATCTCTACAATAAATCACAAAAAAACTAGCCCGGCGTGGTGGCCTGTGTCTGTAGTTCCAGCTACTTTGAAGGCTGAGGCGAAGGATTGCCTAAGCCCAGCAGGTTGAGGCTGTGGTGGCTGTGAGTGTGCTACTGCACTCCAGCCCGGGTGACGAGTGAGAGTCCAACTCAAAAAAAAAAAAAAAAAAAAAAAGGAAACCTAGAAATGACTTGATTTTTTTTTTCCTCTTCTATTTTGGGGAAGTATCCTAATCAATGGGCATAGATTTCTGAAGGGACCAAAACGTAGAATAATGTGAGATAAACTAGCATGGGAGGAAATAAGTCTATTTAATTGATTTTTAAAAATAACTTGATATTGCCAGCTGATAAATGCTTATAAAAGACAGAGTGAGACTCCAACTCAAAAACAGAAACAAACCACGGAACTTCACAGGAATAACTCGTTTCAAATTAATTAGGTCTGTTATTTTTTTTCATTTAGCTAACTATTTTGTTATGCCAAGTACTTAAGATGTGGGTGTTTCGTAAGCATTTGTTGACTGATGGCCGTGTAGACTAGTAGTTTTATTATGTCACACATCTTGATTTACTTTGACGTATCTCATGAGTTTCTAATAATTCATATAAATGTTTTTGATACAGGAGAGATGAATGGGAGGGCTGACTTTCGAGAGCCGAATGCAGAAGTTCCAAGACCAATTCCCCGTAATTATCTATTAAGTATTTATAATTTGAAGCACTTTCTGTGTAAAGGAAATTTCTCTGCCTTGAGTAGCGGTCACAGCTAGGCTGACTTTGTGGGTGTGTCACTTGACCCGTGTAGTTGCACTGGGCCCCACACTTGTTTAAGACTCTGTTGTAACAGGGTGCCTGAATGAAACGTAATTGTACACCTAACCCTTAACTGTACCCCACAAAACCATAATAAAAAATACTGATTAAAAAAAAAAAAAAAGATTCTGTTGTGCTATGTTGAAATGGTTCGTAATTATTCCTGCATTTCCACTATGCTCGGGCCCTATGTAGTCCGTTCTGACTAGCAGTAACTTCTGTTTTAAGTTCAAGTTTGTTAAAAGTTTAAAAGCCACATTACTTGTTTCATTACATGATTTAAAAAAAAATTGTTAATATTTTGTCTAAACTAATTTCTCAGATTGAGTTTTATTATAGGTGTTTTACTATTGTCCTCTTTTCTTTGGAAAAAGACATAGGGGCTGATTACATTCCAACAGAGGAAGAGAGGAGAGTCTTCGCCGAATGCAATGATGAGAGCTTCTGGTTCAGATGTGAGTTCAGATTTCTGATCAATGTAATTTTTACCTATTTGAACCTTAAATTATAATGATTCCATATAGAACAAATTGGCATAGTGTGGTTGCTGGTAAAGGAGGTTGGTTAAGAAGATATAAGAATTATACACATTTTCAAGTAATTATTTCCAGAGTTTTTTCCAAAACCATGAGGTAGTTTTGTTGGTGATAGTAATAGCTAACATTCACTGCATATACTTAGTTTATAGAAAAACAACCCAATAAGCTTGATAACTATTATTACCCTCACTTTTCAGATGAAGAAATTGAGGTTTGGAGATGTTAAATGAGATATCTAGTGTTACACAGGGGTAAGTCATGATGTCTGTACTTGAAGCCAGGTCTCTCTGAAACAGAAACTTGTGATTTTAAAGCCTCGCTATTATGTTTTATGTATTTATTTTCTTTGAGTCAGGGTCTCACTCTGTTGCCCAGGCTGGAGTGCAGTGGCACAATCACAGATCACCCTAACCCTAACTTGAACCATTACATAGTAAGAACAGGTTAGTTCCTATTTTATCATTATGAAATGTTATCATACTGTCAGCTCCTGATTTCTGAAGATAGAATTTATTTATCAAGATTTTATTTTTTAAATAGAGATTTTTTTTTGAAGCAATACATATAATATAATCTTAATTTTGAATGAAACCTTGGTATTGCTTTACTTGGTAAGATAGTTCTAACAAAAAAGCAGGATGGCTTTTTTTTAAATGGAAAACTTAAGCAGTTAAGGAGGATGTACATTTTCGTCAGCTAGCCTGGTATGTATGCTTGCAACATACAAGATGCTGTGCTTGGCAGATAGGCTTTAAGAAGCACAGTCCGGGCTGGGCTCAGTGGCTCAGCCTGTAATCCCAGCACTTTGGGAGGCTGAGATGAGTGGATTGCCTGAGTCTGTGGGTTCAAGACCCGCCCTGGCAACTTGGCGAGACCTTGTCTCTACAATAAATCAAAAATTAGCTGGGCATGGTAGTGCACGCCTGTAGTTGTGGCTACTTGGAAGACTGAGGTGGAAGGATTGCTGGAGCCTAGCAGGGTGAGACTGCGGTGGCTGAGAGCATGCCACTGCACTCCAGTCTGGGTGACAGAGTGAGACTCCAACTTAAAAAAAAAAAAGCAGTCTGTTGTGAAGTAGTTTTATGATGTGGTTGAGATAGCTACTGCGTGAGACACTTAGAGAAAGATTAAACGTGTAACTGAAATAAGAATTTTTTTAAAAGATAAAATTAATTGGAATTAATTAGCTAAAAAAGGCTTTATTAAGTAAGTGATATTTCCAACAACTAATAGGACTCAAGGTGAATGAAGAGAAACGGTGGAGGAGCTTTTTATTTTAAGATGAAAGGTACAGTGAATAGAGGCAGTCTGTAATCCCTAGATCTCTGTTAGAGGCTGAACTGATTGGAGCCTAGGACTTTCATTGAGGGTGCAGTGTAAAACAGCCTTAGCAATACACCGAGACCTTGTCTCTACAAAAAGTCAAAGTTTAGGTGTGGTGACTTGCCCCTGTAATCCCAGCAGTTTGAGAGGCCACTGCAGGAGGATTGCTTGAGCCTAGGAGTTTGAGAGTAGCCTGGGCAACACAGCGAGATCTCGTCTCTACAAAAATTCAGAAAATTAGCTGAGCTAGGTGACTTGCGCCTATAGTCCCAGTTATTGAGAAGGCTGGCTTGGGCCTAGGAGTTTGAGGCTGATGGCCACTGCAGCCTCAACCTACTGGGCTCAGGAGATCCTTCCACCTCAGACTTCCAAGTAGCTGGAACTATAGGCATGCTGCGCCACCATGGCCGGCTAATTTTTTGATGTATTGTACAGATGAGGTCTCGCCAAGTTGCCCAGACTGGTCTCGAACCTGTGGGCTCAGGCAGTCATCTCACCTTGGTCTCCCAGAGTGCTACGGTTATTGGTATGAGCCACTGCGCCTGGCCTATTTATTTTTAAATAATTGAAATAGAGATGAGGTCTTGCTGTGTTGCCCAGGCTGGTCTCATATTCCTGGGCTCAAGCAGTTCTCCCATCTTGACCTCCCAAAGTGGTGGGGTTACAGGCATGAACTACCATACCCTGCTGGATTTTTAAAAATTGGACTAAAAAAATGAAGGAAAGTTAAGAGTCAAGTAATAGTTTCAAGGTATTCAGCTTAGGAGACTGTAATTATGACATTATTGATTAAAAGGTTCAGTTAGAATGAGTTATTGTTTGAAGGATGAAATAAGTTTAGTTTGGACATTTTGAGTTCATGGTGCAATATTCTGTTGTGGATGATGTGTGAGCAACCAGCGATAGGAACAAAGGTATACATAAGAGATCAGGGTTTGTTGTGTACTTAAGAATCAAGTGTAAAGATACAAGCACAAAACTGGTACTAGTATCTGTCACACTATTAGTTGGGAATGATGGAATAAGTGGTGCGGCTTGGGTAGTACCATGAATAAGCAAGCAAGTGGTGGTCAAAGGACCAACAAAGAGAGCAGATAAGAAGACAGCGGGATCTCTGACAGAATCTATGCTATTTTATCTCACTCCCATATTCAGAGACTTACAGACATTTCAGGCTCCGCTAGAAAGAACCTGAGTGAGAATTCGGTGGTAATGCTACCTCCAGGTGAGAAGGATTGTTTGGGATGCATATTCATCATGAATCAAGAACTTGTAAAGATTTTGCATGGCTCATAGAATGAGAATAATTTCTCAGATAACTCAGGTGTACTGTGACAGCAGGTGTTTTTAATCTTTGAGGGTTGCGCAGAGTAGATAAAATAATCTCTCTTCAAGTCTTGGTGACACGGATTAAGAAAAAGACAAGTCTGTTGGGGTTTGGGAATGTTGTAATGTTGGACTTTGGGCTAAATAGCAACTAAGGTTACAGATTTCCATCTGGCTGATACATGTATGATATTGTACATGTTTGACATTTGGAACAGTTGTAGCAGCAATATTGTTAAAAATACATTAATGAGCAGCCATTCATAGGTAGGACACCTAACTTGTTAGTGGGATAGTAATTTATATGTATTAAAACAGGTAAGTTGCAGGTTGAAAAGTCAAAAGGCATGTAATAAGGACAGGCTGAAAGACAGTCTGTTAGTTTTATACCATGTCTAGATTGCTGGGAAATTACAGCAGGCAAAAATTTACTGTATTAATAAGTAGTGCTTGTCTCTTAAAACAGACATAACCTAGGTGTGGTGCATATTACAGCATCAGATATTAAAAACGTAGAATCTTGTTGTAACCAGATGATAAGAAATTCTACATGCAATTATCAGGAAAAGCTAATAGTCAAACACTAGGGAACTTTGTACTTTAACATTTGTATCTTCAAATAAGGTCTTCTATGCAGTATATGATGTTTACATATTTATATAAGTGAATAACGAAAACCATGTTACTTTGGAGAGCATCAGCTTGTGACTTACTAGAAAAATGATGAAAGCACTTAGGAATATATATTTAAAAACTTACTAAGATAATTTTTACATATTTTTTAGATCTGTTAAATATATTCATCCTTATTTAAAATTAGACTTGTTGCTCTAGGAACCATTCTCTTTCTGTAAGATGACATTGTTTCTATACTATTAGTCTTAAAACATAATTATGAAAGCATTCTAGTTGCTTAAAATTGGGCCCTATCCACTAACCCAGAACCAGTATGTCTGCCCAGACACACGGGTCATGAAAGGGTCTGTACATGAGTCCGTTCATGGTGTATTACATGTTAGCAGTGGTTCTCAGCCTCTGGAGTGACTGAAAAGGTGAATGAATTCATATTTGCATCAGTGGTAGATTTTGTTAATAGCTTCTGCATGTTTACTACTGATTTTTGAATGAGAGTCTGAGAGTGATGAGAGCCTGGACTTCGAAGCCCCACTGTCTAAAATCCAATCCCAACTCCTCACGTCTTTTTTTTTTTTCCTTTGAGTTGTAGTCTCACTCTGTTGCCCAGACTGGAGTGCAGTGGCATGTTCCCGGCTACCGCAGCCTCAATCTGCTGGGCTCTGGCGATCCTTCCACCTCAGCCTTCCAAGTAGTTGGAGCTACAGGCGCGCGCTACCACGCCCGGCTAATTTTTTGATTTATTGTAGAGATGAGGTCTCGCCAAGTTGCCCAGGCGGGTCTCGAACCCGCAGGCTCAGGCAGTCCGCTCACCTCAACCTCCCAAAGTGCAGGAATACAGGCTGAGCCACCTAGCCTAGCACATCTTTTTTTTTTAATTGGAGTCTCACTTCATTGCCCAGGCTGGAGTGCAGTGGCACACTCATGGCCACCCCAGCGTCGACTTGCTAGGTTCTGGCAATCCTTCCGCTTCAGCCTTCCAAGTAGCTGGAACTACAGGTGTGTGCTACGGCACCTGGCTAATTTTTAAAATTTATTGTAGAGATAAGGTCTCACCAAGTTGCCCGGGCTGGTCTCAAACCTGTGGGCTCAGGCAGTCTACTCACCTTGGCCTCCCAACACGCTGGGATTACAGGCCCAGCCATTGAGCCTCGCCTTTTCACATCTTAGCTGTGAGATTTGGGGCATATTTCTGTTGTCTTTGTGTGTCAGTTTCTGTATCTGTAGAATACAGAACTACCTAGCTCCTGGAATTGTTATGGTGATTAATTCAGTTAACTAACATAATTATATACATGTTTGTTCTCTTTATTAAGTGGCTGTTAGTGTTATTGTGGTTAATGAAATAAAAAATCTATTGAAAACAATTATAAATTTACAGTAGTGTTTTGCTTTTGTGAGGAGAGAGGAATTCAAGAAATTGTAGAGGTCCTTGTACATGGTATAGTTTGGGATCATGCCAATAATTCAGAATAGCATTATTGATTTCCCTAAAGAAACAGGCTACTTATCAGATTTTGGACTAGGAGTCCCATAATGCAGTGGCAAAGGCCACTGGCCTGGGAGTCAGGAGACTTGGGGTCTGATCTTAGCATTACCACAAACTAAACAACTGTGTTGCTTTGAGCATATGACTTTGTCCTTTCTGGGTATTGGTTTACTCTGTTGAGGATGAAGACTGGATAATCTTGGAAGCCCCTTTCAATTTGACCTTTTTTTTAAAGGGATTGCTCTCTTGCCCAGGCTGGAGTGCGGTGGCACAATCATAACTCACTGCAGCTTTGAACTATGGGCTCATGCAATCCTTTCGCCTCAGCCTTCCTGGCAGCTGGGCTATAGGCAGGCTTCACTGTGCCTACCTAATTGCCTGGCCTCAAGTTTACCATTGTCTTTTTCTGTGACATAAAATAGAATACGTGTGTTCGAGACCTTAGCCATTACCCTTCCGTGGCATGAGAAGTTAAGAAATTCGTGCAAAGATACTGTTGTGGGATGGCAGAACTAGAGCTACAATCTTGTTAGATGGTCACTCTCAGTGTTTGACAGGGAAATCTGTGTCCATTGCAGAGATAGCCACGATCTCAGGGCCTTTATCCTTATGTGATTGTTCACTATTTCAAGATGCAGTCTTTGAGCCATGCTGATGGAGAGAAATGATTGCACACTGCACTGATGCTATAATTACAAGGGATTTGTCCTTTTCATAACCTTAAACGATAATACATGAAGGCATTCTAACCAGCCAACATTAAAGAAACCATTTTTCCAGCAAAGGTAAAATCTGCTAGTAAGTAGGATAGCACAGATTCAAACCTTAGGGTTTGTAAAGCAGGTCTGATGGCCAAGCTAATTCCCCATTCCAAAGTTAATGAATTTTCATCATGAAATCACTGTTAATTCAAATGTCTTAATTACTGTGGGTCTCAAATTACTTGTGTGTAGTTTAGACCATAACATACTACAGCCCCTGCACCAAATTGGTTTTTGTACGTATGAGCCAAGAATTGTTTTTATTTTTAAAATAGTTAAAAAAAAATCAAAGGAAGAATATTTTTCATACATGTGAAAATAACGTGAAATTCATACTTTTGCATCTATAAACAAACTTCTATTGGAACACAGTTATGTTCAACTGTTTTTGGATTGTCTTTGGGTGCTTTTGTTTTAAAATAGCAGTTGAGTATTTGGGACAGAAACTGAGTGGCTAACAAAACCTAAAATATTTGCCATCTGGCTCTTTTTAGAGTATTTGCCCACCCCTGGTCTAGAACAACACTGTCTTGTGTGGTGGACACCAGCCACATGTAGCTATTTAAATTTAAAATAATTTACAATGAAAAGATACAAATCAAAATCATCAAAAGGAAAGGGAGTATGGGTAAGATCCAGGGGAAATCAGGTCCAGGCTTCCAAGAGTCCTCTCCCAGTGGAGTCACAAAGGACATGTTACAAAGCTACTTGTAACAAGATCAGACAACTGGTGTGAAGTGTTCTTTACCAGGGAAGCTTGTTAGAGACTCAGTGTCTGTGGTTTTTACTGGGGGCTGGTCAAGTAGGAACCCTCAACCTCACAGATACCAAAATTCTGGACTCCCAGAAGGAATGCAGGTGTTTGGCTAACTGTGTTTGAACAGACAGTGTGGGCACAGTGAACCTCATGTGTGTCAGTGTAGGGAACTATTTACCAGTCAGGTTCCCAGACCAAGTTGCTTATAAGGTTTGTCAGCCAAAAATCTAACTCCATCATTAAAAAAAATTCCCGTTAGACTGCTGGTGTACAGAATAGTGATTCATCTTTTTTTTAAAGTTAGGATCACCTTTGTGATAATGATGAGCATTTTGGACTTTTTCACTCTGCATTATGACCCTATATATGGATATAATATTTTCATATTGTTTTAAAGAGTTCATTGGTTTAAAAGAACATTAGTAGCCGGGCTCGGTGGCTCAGCCTGTAATCCCGCACCTTTGGGAGGCTGAGGTGAGTGGATTGCCTGAGCCCGCAGGTTCGAGACCCGCCTGGGCAGCGAAACCTCATCTCTACAATAAATCAAAAAATCAGCCGGGCGTGGTAGCACGTGCCTGTAATTCTGGCTACTTGGAAGGCTGAGGCAGAAGGATCGCCAGAGCCCAGCAGGTCGAGGCTGCGGTGGCCGGGAACGGCCACTGCACTCCAGTCTGGGTGACAGAGTGAGACTCCAACTCAAAAAAAAAAAAAAGAACATTAGTATTTAAATTATGTGCTTTTGTGTTCTTGCCCCAGCCACTGTCAAATACATTTTGTCTTTTAGTTTATACAGTGTAATACAGAGCTTAAAACTTGAGATCTGATATCAGACAGATTTCATTAGAATTTGGGACCTGCTGTGGAACTGTCTATATAGCCTTGAGCAAAGTGCTCTAACATCTCTAGGCTTCAGTTTCCTTTAAAAGGATGGTAATGATACTATCTACCTTATAGAAATAATGAGGATTTCAACTTGCCTTTAAAAAAAGAAATGTGGCCAGGTGTGGTGGCTCACACCTATAATGTCAGGACTTTGGGAGGGTGAGGTGAGAGGATTGCGTGAGCCCATGGGTTTGAGACCAGCTTGGGCAATTTGGTGAGTCCTCATCTCTACAATAAAAATTTAAAAATTAGCCAGACGTGGTACCTTGTGCCTGTAGTTCCAACTGTATGGAAGACTGAGGTGGAAGGATCACCTGAGCCCAGCAGATCAAGGCTGCAGTGGCCGTGAGTGTACCACTACACTCCAGCCTGGGCGACAGAGTGAGACTCCGACTCAAAAAAAGAGAAAGGAAGGAAAGAAGGAAGGAAACCAGCCAGGAAGGAAGCCAGCCAGCCAGCCAGCTGGCCGGCCGGCCAGCTGGCCGACTTCGGTGGCTCAGCCCGTAATCCCAGCACTTTGGTAGGTAGGCTGAGGCAAGTGGATTGTCTGATCCTGTGGGTTCGAGACCAGCCAGGGCAACTTGGTGAGACCTCATCTCTACAATAAATCAAAGATTAGCTGGGTATGGTAGCGTGTGCCTGTAGTTCAGCTACTTGGAAGGATCGCCAGAGCCCAGCAGGTCGAGGCTGGGGTGGCCGTGAGAGTGCCACTGCACTCCAGCCCAGGCGACAAAGTGAGACTCCAACTCAAAAAAAAGAGAAAGAAATGTGGTAACTAAATGAGGAAATACACATGAGGCACTTGGCATGGCTTCTAGAATTCAGTCATTACTCATTGGCTCTTATCTGTAATTTGCATCTTGTCTCTCCCTCATTGACTTTTTTTTTCTCCTTTCTCTAACTTTCAGAAGTAGCTTCTAGTCTTAGTTGATGATGTGACTGGCTATTTTGTACCTAAATCTAAATGGTTCTTAAATAATATTTTGTGACATCTTCTTAAATTTAAAATGCTCCTTTCATTTTTCCACTGACTGTATTCATACAGTACAGCTTTTAAAAATGGAAGTCTCTTACAGATCTTAGTCATGCAGTATACTTCCTAGATGATTTCATTGATATTCATTTATCTCCTAATGAACTCAAGACAAAATCTCTTTTGATGTTGACAAGCTCTTTTTTCTCCTATAGCTGTTCCTTTGGCTGCAACAAGTATGCTGATTACTCAAGGATTAATTAGTAAAGGTAAGTATTTAAACTTTGAATTTATTTAGTATTTTATATACCATGTTTTTTTGTGGTCGTTTAGTTAGAGCAAAGATAACGTATTGTATTAAATATCATTGGTGAGTTTCTCCAGTGTTAGAACAGTTTTGTCTCTTGGACCCTCTCCCTCTCCTCTGACTCAGATATATGACTTGAGAATTTGATGCCGTCCTGTGCTAGAACATTCTGAGCAGTAGAATTGCTCATTGCATTGACTTCATGAACTGTCTACCTGGTAATGGGAAAGTGTCCCAGTGAAGGGTGGCATTCCAGGCCTGTTCTTTTAATTAACTAGCCCCTCCAAAATGTGACTGTGATAGCAAATTTTAGCCTTTTCACATTAGCTGGATGACATGCAGTACTTACAGATAGTCTTGACACAACCAGTTGATCAAAGGATTTTGGGGGTTAAAAGTTTGTTTAAGGAGTACCCAAAGGATCTCTTTACGGTATACTACTATGACAAAAATCTTAAATATGGAAATAAGCTATATATGCATTTATATGTTCTTTAAGACGAAGGTGTTTTATAGATGGAGATTGGTTTTTTATTGTGGGGAAAAAATCCGCTTTAGTCATATTGCTTTGAAGGAAAAACTGGCATGGGGAGTTAGGAATGGAGAGGTTAGAGTGTCGTTGTTCAGCCTGTTTTATCTGTCTTAATCCAGTGTGCAGTTTAACTAATAATGACTGGAGCTGGGCATCGGGGCAGGGAGTTACTCAGAAGAAATTTAAGAGCTGCTCGTAACTCATTTGAGGAAACAAATCGACTTAAACACATGTTGAAACAAATAGAAAATTTAATGAAATACTTAATAAGGTACTCGACTGTGCAGTGGAGACTCGAAGAATTGTAGGGCTCCTATAATCAAGAAAAGATTCTTGAAAGAAGTGTATTTTGAAGGATGGGCAGGATTTAAAGAGAAGGAAGAATCTCTCAGAGAGGAGGAACTTGGTGATGAGAACAATAAGCATGACTCCTGGGGGGAACAGGCAGGGGACTGTTGAGGCCAGTGGCAGAATCATGTGGGAAGCACGACAGCTCCATGAAATAGCTCACAGGGAGCCTGGAGAGGTTCCGCTTGGATTAGGTTATGGGAGGAATATTAGAGACTCAGGAACTGGAGATGTGGGACAACTTGAGGGTGAAGACTGAGAGAGACTCTAGGAACATAATTCGAAATCCACCAGGACATTTTGTATTTAACCAGAATTCCTGGTGCTCTGTTCAGTGGTCCCTCAGTGTCTGGGAGGGTTGGTTCCAGGATTTCCGCAAGGGTACCAAACTCCATGGAAGCTCAGGCTCCTGTGTGAAATGACACAGCAAAGCGTACGTGCACATCTACCTGGATACTTTTCATCTGTCAATTACTTACAGTACCTAATACAATGTAAAGGCTGTGTGAATCATTATTGTACTGTGTTATGTAGGGATAATGACTAGAAAAAAGTCTGTACCTGTTCAGCACAGATGCACTTTATCCCCTGAATGTTTCAATCCGTGGTTGTTTGAATCCATGAATGCAGAGCCCACAGATATAGAGGGTTGATTGTGTGTGCTTTCATCCACAGCATGTCATGCTCAGCATGGGCTTAGCTGCCCCCTCTCTCTTTGTTCCTGGTCTATAAAACCATGCAAACGTGCTCAGGTCTATTCTAACTTGAGAACATAAAAAGGAAAAATCCTCCCTTATTTGCCTTTCCAGCTGCTCCCAGCTGCCTTGTGTTGGAAGCCAGACTTCCTGGGTGGGCACTTCACTTTTTACTACTCTGATCTATTGCATTCAGTGTTGTACACTGTCTCCATATGTTCTCCTAATAGCTGAGCTTTGTGAAAGGTGACCAACACAGCCTCCTTGTTGCGTAAATATGGCGGACAGTTTCTGTTCTGACCAGCGTTACTCAGTCTGAGCCAGTTCTTCTTGGAATGTTCTTTTTCCTGGCTCCGTGAAGGCCCATCCTCAGTATTCTCCTGCTTGGGCAGCTCCTCAGTCGTTTTGAGTGTTTTCAAGTGTGTGCTATATACTGCATGTACTTTTTTTTTGATACATAGCGCTAAAAGACAAAAACTCATGACTCTTGGTGCTTGCATTCTTGTCTGGGTTTCCTTTGTCCACTTGTCCCAGAAATGCTGGTGTTGCCATATTCTGGATACTTCCACATGGATGGCCTTCTACAGGCTTCTTCAATGGAACTCATCATTTTCCACAAAGCCAGTTCCCCCTTTTCTTCCTGTGACTGGATGGCATCACTGCCATCTAGGAAACAGAGACACCATCCTTCACTTCTGTTTCTCGTTAGCTTTGTGCAGCCATTGTTTTCTGTCCCAGCACTTGAATGTCTCTCTGGACTGTCTGTCTCCTTCTCTACTGTCACTACCATTAGTGTGACCCTGTGTCGAGTGTTGTTGCTTTCAGCAAGTCTGTTTGCCTCCATTCTGGTTACTTAGGAAAACAGGCCACTTCTAGCACTGACAGAGGGGATGCATCATGCATGAAGTAGATGCTCAGATATCTGAGTGGATGTACAGCAGCCACACTATACTGTTTGTCAGCTGTAAACGCCTTGGCGGTAAAGAGAATGTCTTGTTTACTGTTACATCCCTGCTTCCATATGTATGTTGCCTTTGTATTGTAAGTGGTCAATAACTAATCGAGTGAATGACTTTTTTTTGAGTTTTTTTTTTTTTGAGTTGGATTCTCACTCTGTCGCCCAGACTGGAGTGCAGTGCACGTTCCTGGCCACCGCAGCCTTGACCTGCTAGGCTCCGGCGATCCTTCCGCCTTAGCCTTCCAAGTAACTGGAACTACAGGCGTGCGCTACCATGCCCTGCTAATTTTTTTGATTTATTGTAGAGATGAGGTCTCGCCAAGTTGCCCGGGTGGGTCTCGAACCCGTGGGCTTAGGCAATCCACTCACCTCAGCCTCCCAAAACGCAGGATTCCAGGCTGAGCCACCGAGCCCGACTGAACAGCTTTTTAATGTATGGATATAGGTATCTGAACATCCTTTTTCTTTTGCTTACTATCTGTGATATAAATGAGGGAACAGCACAGATGAGTTCTGTTGTACTTGACACTGAAGTATTCTTTTGTGTGGGTTACTTCAACATTGTTGGATACATCCAGTGGTATGGTGGAACTGGCTTGTCCTGGCTCCTGAGAACTGATTGGTACATTTTTAGGAATTTGGTGAGCTGGTTTTTAAACCATTTGCTTTACACCTTGGAAATGGACAGGCATTAAAATCAGAGGTTTGTACATGATAGCTGTTTTGCCAGCACACCTGGGTTCATCCACATTGCTGCAGGGAGTTGTGGGTTCTGTCTTACGGATATTCTCATTGCCATGTCATTTTCTTCTGAGTGAAGGCACCCCAGTTCATCTGTCCTTCTGTATGTTGGCAGGTGGTGGTTTCTAATTTTGACATTTACAGTTTAGTTCTGCGATGAACACAGTGTCTCTTGGTAGACATTTTACTGGGTCACCGATTGTTTATGTGTCTATTCAGCTTTAGTAGATACTGCCAAATATTTGTACCAGTTTATACGTCTGCATTCTTCCCAGTACTAGGTATTTTTGTGTCTTGTGTCTTAACCTTTGTGATGAGTGAACAGTTATGTGTTTTAATTGCATCTCCCTGAGATGATGGCGTTGAGGACCTTTTGTTGATGCCGCAAAATGCATCATTTTTTGTGACGTGCCATTCAGATTTGTTGTTCACTTCTCATTGGCTTGTTTCTCTCCTTTGGAATTTGTGAGAGTTCTCTATTTTGGAAGTGAGTCTTTGTCAGTTACGTCACTTGTGATTCTTTGTTCCCACTCTTTTTGTTTTGTTTCGTTTTGTTTTTGAGTTGGAGTCTGACTCTGTAGCCCAGACTGGAGTGCAGTGGCCGCTCCTGGCCACTGCAGCCTCGATCTGCTGGGCTCCGGCGATCCTTCTGCCTTAGCCTTCCAGGTAGCTGGAATTACAGGCGCGCACTACCGCGCCCAGCTGATTTTTGATTTATTGTAGAGGTGAGGTCTCGCCAAGTTGCCCAGGCGGGTCTCGAACCCGCGGGCTCGGGCAATCCACTCACCTCAGCCTCCCAAGGCGCGGGATTACAGGCTGAGCCACCGAGCCCGGCTTCCTTGTTCCCACTCTGTTCACTTGTAGTTCTTACTGTTGGTAGAGCCCAGCTTGTTAGATTTCTTCTTCCTGATGAGTGTTTTTTGTGGATCTTCTCAGGGCACAAAGATGGCCTCTGATGCTTTCTTCTATAAGCTCTTTAAATCTTCCTTATTTACATTTTGAAGCCATCTGGAATTGTTCTTGAGTGTTGTATGAGGTGGGATCAAGGAACATTCCCCCTTATGGATATGTACTGACTCGTCACTCTATTTTGAAAGGACTGTCATGAGTGTTACCTTTGTTGTAAATCAGATTTCTGGACTTTGCTAATTCTGGTCAGTTTGCCTGCTCCTAACACCAGCCTGCCTTAATTACTGTAGCTTTAGTACACAGGGCTTGCTCTCTAGAGGTTGTCAGTTCTCCAGAATTCTTAACTATTTTGGCCCTATGTGTTTCCATGTGATTTTTAGAATAAGTTTTTCAATTTTTGCAAAGACTTTGGTTTTAACTGAGATGGCATTGCATTTATAAGTGAATTTATGGAGCATTACCTTTGCTAACAGTATTTAGTCTTTTTAATTCATGTACATGGTATGTTTCTTCATTTCTTTGGCTTTTATTTCTCTCAGTAAGTTTTGTCGTTTTTCAGTGTAGAGATCTTTCATGAGATTTGTTCCTGGGTTTTGGATTTTTTTTTTTTTTGGTGCTATTAATTAATTGTATCTTTTAAAAAGTGGTATTTTGTTTGTTTATTGTTGGTATATAGAAACACTTTTTTTTTTTTTTGAATTGGAGTCTTAACTCTGTCGCCCAGACTGGAGTGCAGTGGCCGCTCCTGGCCACTGCAGCCTCGACCTGCTGGTCTCCGGCGATCCTTCCGCCTCAGCCTTCTGAGTAGCCAGAATTACAGGCGTGCGCTACCATGCCCGGCTAATTATTTGATTTATTGTAGAGATGAGGTCTCGCCAAGTTGCCCAGGCGGGTTTTGAACCCGTGGCCTCAGGCGACCCACTCACCTCAGCCTCCCAAAGCGTGGGATTACAGGCTGAGCCACCGAGCCCAGCCCACTTTTTCTTTTGTATATTAATCTTGTATCAAGTATATGTCTTCTCTTCCTCTTCTCTTCCTCTTCTCTTCTCTTTTCTTGTCGGAGTCTCACTCCGCTGCCCAGGCTGGAAGGCAGTGGCATGCTCATAGCCACCCGGGCATCAACCTGCTGAGCTCTGGCGATCTTTCTGCCTCAGCCTTCCAAGTAGCTGGAACTATAGGCATGCACTACCACACCTGGCTAATTTTTGATTTATTGTAGAGATGCGATCTTGCCAAGTTGCCTGGGCAGGTCTTGAGCCCACTGGCTCAGACAATCCACTTGCCTTGTCCTCCCAAAGTGCTGGAATTACAGGCTGAGCCACTAGGCCCTGCCCTACCTCGGCCTGTGAAGTACTGAGATTACAGGTGTGAGAGCCACTGCACCTGGCCTTCAAGTAATCTTTCTAAATTCACTTATTCTAAGTTTGTGGAGTCTTTTGGATTTTCTTTATTTCTCTTGCTATGGAATTTACTTGACTCTCCAGTTCTCTAGGGTCACAAAAAGAGTTTATGTCAGGCAACTTGGTGAGATCTCATCTCTACAATAAATAAAAAAAATCAACTGGGCGTGGTAGCACACGCCTGTAATTCCGGCTACTTGGAAGGCTGAGGCGAAAGGATCGCCGGAGCCCAGTAGGTCGAGGCTGCGGTGGCCGGGAGCGGCCACTGCACTTCAGTCTGGGTGACAGAGTGAGACTCCAACTCAGGGGTCCTCAAACTTTTAAAACAGGGGGCCAGTTCACTGTCCCTCAGATCGTTGGAGGGGAGGACTATAGTTTTTAAAAAAAAAAAAAAGGAATTTGTTCAAAGTTTTTTTTTTTTTAAACTATAGTCCTCCCCTCCAACGGTCTGAGGGACAGTGAACTGGCCCCCTGTTTTAAAAGTTTGAGGACCTCTGCTCCAACTCAAAAAAAAAAAAAAAAAGAGTTTATGTCAGATAATATTTAAAGATTGTCTGTACTGATTTTTTTTTTCTCTCTAGCAGTGTTGCTCAGAAATACCTTAACTCTTTTCTTTAGGAATACTTTCAAGTCATCCCAAATATGGTTCCATCCCTAAACTTATATGTAAGTATGAACAACACTATAATTTTTTAAACTATTTTCTACTTTAAAAAGATCATTAGTTTTTATCAAATGTTTTATCATGTCTCATTCATTAGTTAATGTTGTTCTATGCTCTGACAAATCTGTTTAAGCCTTTTATTAAATGGGCTACTTGGATACTGTTAGCATCAAAATCATTAGTTACTTGAAAGAGGCATTTTAAAAATTCCCCACAATGTAATGGAACTGTTAATTTGAAATTCATTTTATAAAGATACAGTATTAGAAATAAATTCTTGGTCTGACTATAGGGAAATAAAGTTGTGCAGATATTCTGATTAATCAAATATAATGTATATTTAAAATTAAGCTTCATTTTAGAAGGCTCTTTAATTTACATTTTAAAATGTAAACAGGCATAACCTTATTACATTTTGCAATACGGCTAATAAAAAGATGCTAAATTGTTCTTTAAAGAAGCACCTGAGACTTTCATAAGTCTTTGCAGGTTAGTCTCTCTCATATCGGAAACAGACACATGATGCAGTAATTGTCACATTTAGATTATGCTGTGTAATTTATTACTTTAACAGAGTTGTTGCTCTTAATTTTAGTTTTAAAACAATCTTGTGAAATTCGATGGGCAAATGATTCCCCGTTTTACTGAAAAATAAGTGGTCTGAATTTCTGCGGCCAGGCTGGAAGCAGAATTGAGGTTTAGACCCTTACCCATCCCTCCTTCCAGTATGCTGTAACCACGTCTTTCCTGTGCATGTTAATCATATAGTGACTAGAATTGATTCATAGCAGCTTTATTTTGGCTTGTTTTATTTTAGGAAAATGAATTATATCCATAGAATATGTCTATAAATGCTTATTCAAATTGTGGCACTTGGACCATTATTTTAGGAAATCTCAGTCTTTCTAAACCAAAGACATATTTAGGATCATGATTTTTAAGAGAAAGTTCTTTAGAAAAGATGTTTGTCTAAAAGGCATGTCCAGTCACACTTTTTGTTTGATTTTACAAATAAGTTGCTTGTATCATGGGATACTTTGCTGGAAAGCTTTCTTACGTGAAGACTTGCCAAGAGAAATTCAAGAATCTGGAAAACTCCCCCCTTGGAGAAGCCTTGCGGTCAGGACAGGCACGACGAACCTCGCCACCTGGGTAGGTAGGCCAGATTGTGGTATTTAAGTAAGATGTTTAATTTTTAACAAACAACTAGATACTCCTGTAGTTCAGAGCACGAAGCACTGCCTGATAGACTGCCATTTGCTGTAGGCTGAAGGTAGTTTGCTTTACAAAGTGAGCAGGACTTGGCTACCATTATTTTAATATAGAATCACATACTATTGGGAGTACATGTCTCAGAATAAAGGATTTCATCGTAATTCAATTAGGCAAACACTTTTGGTTACTGTATTTTACTGTTTTGAATTTTCAAATTGACATCAATTCCATCTCAACAGATTTCAGTTTTTCATTTTAATCCTTCAAATAAATAAAAGAGAATATGAATTGAAGTAGTATGGGAGTGAATTGAAGAAAACACTTACCTAATTTTTTTGAGATTGTTTGTTTTGATAACCTGGATTCATATTAGCAATAGTAGTTAATTCTTGATTAAATAATTTCTGGAGTGAACTGGCACCTGAATACATTTTCTTTTTTTTTTTTTTTTTTTTGAGGAGTTGGAGTCTCACTCTGTCGCCCAGAGTGCAGTGTCACGCTTATTGTCACCCCAGTGTCAACCTGCTGGGCTCCGGCGATCCTTTCGCCTCAGCTTTCCAAGTAGCCAGAACTACAAGCGCGTGCTATCATGCCTGGCTAAGTTTTTGATTTATTGTAGAGACAGAGTCTCACCATATTGCCCAGACTGGTCTCGAACCTGTGGGCTCAGGCAACCTCTCACCTCGGCCTCCCCAAGTGCTGTACTGAATACATTTCTAATATAAACTGGTGTGAATGTTTTGGATAGCATCTTGTCAGCATGTTGAGATTCATATCATTTGGAATCTTGGAGATGTTTTTACTAAATTCTGTAAATCTAGTCAAAGGAAGAGCAAAGCTATAGGCAGAGAGTTGTTGTTTACAACTTTATTTTTAATAGAGAAAAACTGAGATCAACATAATGTCTATTGAAGGGGAATGGTTAACTAAGATCTATTAGTGGGACATTGTGAGGTTGTTTTAAGATAGATTAAGATGTCTGAACATGAGGAAATGCTTCTGATAAACTGAAGATGGTAGAGTATCAAACTACATGTAAATTGACTGAAGAAAAGTATCTACTTCCAAAAATATGAGAAGTAGATAATGAAAATGGTTGTCGTTTACAGGGGTTTCTTCCCCCTTATTCCAAACTTCATGTAACGTGGTCATGTTACTTGCAATTAAAAGAAAAAAATAAAAAGCTTTAAAAAACTTCTTTTTTTTTGTTTTTTGAGTCTGGATCTCACTCTGTTGCCCAGGCTGGAGTGCAATGGCACAATCATGGCTCATCGCACCTTGACCTCCTGGTCTCACAGTAGCTGAGACTACAGGCCCATGCCACTATGTCTGGCTAATTTTTAATTTTTTTTTATAGAGACAAGGTTTTGCTATGTTGCCCAGACTGGTCTTGAACTGCTGGTCTTAAGTAGTCCTCCTGCCTTGACCTTTCAAAGTGCTGGGATTACAGGCGTGAACCGCCACACCTGGTCTTAAATTAATGTTTATATGGATTTCTAGTTATAAAACTAGAAGTAACTTCCCCACTGATGTGGGGAATGGGCATGCTGATTAAAATTGGTCCTGATGTGAAGTACCTTTTCCCCCCAAGAATCTTAAAACACATTAAAATAATATCTAAAGCCTAATATCTATAAAGTTGGACACAGTGTTTTTCATTTCTTTATATTAAGAGTGACTGTTAAGGTCACTATTAATACATTAAGGTGGCTCACTCGTGTAATCCCAGCACTCCGGGAGGCCGAGGGGGGAGCATTGCTTGAGCCCAGGAGTTTGGGACCATCTTAGGTAATAGCAAGTTTTTTGTCTCTACAAAAAGTAGAAAAAATTAGCTGGCTTGGTGCTTTCCTGTAGTCCCAGCTACTCGGGAGGCTGAGACAGAAGGATCACCTGAGCCCCTTCAGGCGACGTGAGCTGTGATTGTGCCGCTGGGTAATGGTGAGTGAGACCCTGTCTCAATAACAACAAAAGAGTGACAATTTCTAAGTGACAATTTCTGAGTGACAATTGTGTAGGTGGGTCAGGACTTCTTAAAATGTTTTTGTGGCAGAAAGATTACATTTTACTTCTTATAAATAATTATGTTGCAGTTATTATTTTGGAAATTAAATAACTTGTTTCTATACCTTAACACTTGTTTAAATAAGGTATAGGCAGTGACTCATTTTTTTAATATGATTTTCTTTTACAGGCACTATTCTCAGAAGTCAAGATATGACTCCACTGTGAGTGGTCAGTCATCTTTTGGGACATCCCCAGCAGCAGACAGCATGGAGAGAGAGCTACTCCCGCACTATGAGCCAATTCCATTCAGTGCTTCTGTGAATGAGTCTGCTCCCACGGGTATTAGTGATCATGTTGCCCAAGGTAGAAACTTCTCTTGAACTGAGTTTCAGCATTTTATGGTCCAACGTATGTATAAACTTTATTTGATGACCCTTTCTGCTGGATGTCACCTGTGTGTCCTGTCATCAGTGTCAACCTGAACTCATTCTTCAGCCTTTACCCAGCATGTTTGTTTGCTTTGTTCATTTGTTTCTTTCTTCATTTATTCAGCTTTTTTTGAGGACCAGTCAGTGTCCCTGCTAGGCAGGGAGCAAGTAGGATAAATAAGATTGAGTTCTTGGCCCTGAAAAACAGATGTGTCAGGATAAATGACTAATATATCCCCCAGTTTAAAATACTGAGGCCAGGTTAATGGAGCTGTGAGAAGTGATAGGTTGAAGCAGAGGTTTCCAGAAAGGCTTTAAAAGTTACACCAGAGAGGCCAAGGTTAAAGACTTTTGGCTCCTTGTCTGTAATGGAAGAACAATCATACTTCCCTGCCTTACAGAGCTCTTGTCAAGTGAGGAAATACATGTGAGATGATTTGTGCTGTTTGTGTAAATGCTAGCTATGAAGACCATGTGGAGGCACAGCTGGGTCAACTCTGGATTAAGGTCTGGGTTTGAACCCTGATTGGCGTTTGCTAGCTATGTGACCTTGGGCAAGTAAACAGTACTTTGTAACCCTTCAGTGTTTTGGTTGCCTGAATGGAGACCCCGTGACTTGGCTTAAGCGCCTTTGGGAATTAGATGATGAGATCCAAGGCAGTGCCTGGCAAGTGCTAGACTCTGAACTGACCTTAGTGCCTTTCCTTCCTTCAGGCTAGTCTGCAGCAAAAGGCAAGGGTTAGAAAAGTACTGGTCGGCCCGGGCTCGGTGGCTCAGCCTGTAATCCCAGCGCTTTGGGAGGCCGAGATGAGTGGATTGCCTGAGCCTGCAGGTTCAAGACCCACCCAGGCAACTTGGCAAGACCTCATCTCTACAATAAATCAAAAAAAATTAGCCAGGCGTGGTAGTCTGCACCTGTAGTTTCAGCTACTTGGAAGGCTGGGGCGGAAGGATCACTGGAGCCCAGCAGGTCAAGGCTGCGGTGGCCGGGAGCGTGCCACTGCACTCCAGTCTGGGCGATGGAGTGAAACTCCAACTCAAAAAAAAAAAAAAAGGTACAGGTCTATAGTTCCTTATCTAAAAACCCAGAAAGCTTTGAAAATCAAAAAGGGTTTTTTGTTGTTTTTTAATAATGAAACTGGTAATAAAATCTGAACTAAACTCATTTGGTGGCAGTCCCTGACCTCAGCTGACAGAAGTTGTATTTTTTTTTTCTTGATTTCATTGTGTACATGTGGCTGTGATTGTTAACTTGTTGCCACAGGCCTCTGAGTGAATGAACATTGAGTAATTTGGGGCATGTGTCCTGGAGTGTCCTGGACTGTTTTTATAAAACCCGAGAATGCTGAATTGTGAAATATGTAGTCCCAAGGGTTGGGATAAGGGATTATGGACCTTGGTGACGTTGACTGTCAATCTGAACCAGTGAGAGGGAAAGGGAGGATCGTCGCCAGGCATAAGGAGGGCGTGCAGTTGGAAGGGAGGAAGTGGAGGTGGGGCAGGGAGGGTGCAGAAGGCATCTACTTGGGTCAGAAGACACAGCAGCCACCAGCCATATGTGATGTTTCAAATTAAAGTTAAATGGAACTAAGAGTTCAGTCCTCACTTGCTGTGGTTGCATTTCAAAAATGGCTCAGCAGTCATATATGCTGGTGGCTGCAGTGTGTAAGACAGTGTCAATGTAGAATATGCTGTCATGGTGGAGGGTTGTGTTGACACAGCACTGCTGCAGAGTCAGGCCAGGATGAGTGTTAGCCTTGTAGAAGAGGTGGGAGGAGGGTGTTGTCAAGGGCTCTTAGCCCTCAGCTCCTTTTTTCTTTTCCTGAACGGTTGGAAGCAAAGACGTTGTCAAATTAGGCAGAAAGGGACGGGGAGGCCGCTGAGGACAGAGGGTGCAAGTCACTCTCCTGTCTCCACAGGCTGCCGGCCTTGCCCATCTGTGTCTCATTTGCCCTGTCTGAAGTTCAAATCCATTTTTCTCGCACAGTAGTCCTCACTTATCCACGGGAACACGTTCCAAGACCTCAGTGGATGCCCAGACCTGCAGGCAATCTAGACCCTGTATATGATGTGTTTTTTCAGTCTGCTAACCTAGGCAGCTGCTAAGCAACTCCTGTGTGGACAGTGTGGACTTGCTGGGCAAAGGGGTGACTTATGTCCTGGGTGGGGCGGGCCCTCATGGGATCTCAAGGCTACTCAGAACAGCTCGCAGTATAAACTCAGGCCTCGGTTCTGCAGTTTTCTGTTTAATATTTTCGGACCACTGTGGACCACTGATACTGAACTGTGGAAAGCAGACCCGCGGTTCAGGGGGACTGCTGTGCTACCACATGCACTGACTCTCCTCACGATGACTTGTAGCCCTCCTACTGTTTGTGTTAGAAAACTCCATGTCATATCATTTCTTCTCCACTCACAAACAAACACAGAGCCCTTGGTGTTACTCACAGCCTGCCGCATGGCCCTTGTTTAGGGTTTCTCCTCCGTCCTCCAAGCTGCTGTCTCCCTGTGCACGGCTCATGTGCTGGCCCCTGCTCTAAGTCACTCGCTGCTCTCAGCTCCCTGTGGGCTGCAGGGGCCTGCCTTGCCAGGGCACCCTCTCCTCTGAGTTAAGTCCCACTTGCCCTCTTCAGTACTGCTTTCTCCTACCAGGAATTCAAAGAGTTACTAATAATTCAAAGTAGAGGGCACTCCTTCAGAGCTGTTACTAGACTTAGGACTTATTATAGGTAGATTTCAGTCAATGCTGTTTTGCATTTTCTTATTCCTTCCAGCTCTTGATGGCCTTTACCAGGCAGTAAATTCTGTTGTCTGCACAGTGCAGGATACTGCCATTTGGCTTTTAGGAGTGGAAAAGATTCTCTCCAATCTTCTGATTTATGTTTTCATTATTTGTCACAGAATTTTAGAACAGTAAAATACTTTTCTTTTGCGTAAAAAGGTATTAGACCTGGAAGGAACTTTGAGATCATCTAGTCAAACTACTGTAGTTTGCAGTTGAGAAAACCAAGGTTTTCTTGGTTCAGAGAAGCTTAGTGATTTGCCCAAGGACATTCATTGATGGTTGGGTGGTTGAATGTTAGAACCCAGGGCTCCCGAAGTTTACACTGTCTACTTCAGAATTTCTAAAAACAGGATGTATGGTGAAGGAAAATGAGTTCCATAATTATTTATTGCTAATGAAATGCAACGTTTAACCCAATTTAAGGTCACAATACTTTTTCTTACATTGTCCTTTTGTTTAGCAAGAAAGATTTAGTTTTAAGCCCTGGAATAATATTAGAACTATTTAGGAGAAATGGAAATCCTCACTTTGTATGAATGTAGTAAACATTTAGCCAAATACAAGATTATGGTTGGAAACATTCTTTAATATATAGTTATGTTGGTGAAACATTCTGATTATTCACCATGACCTCACCTTTGAGTTCCAAATAAGTGCCACTTATGAAAACTGTCTTTTAAAAATTTTTAATTAATGGGATTATATTGTTAGGATATGTCCAATTTGTATGTCTCATTGGAAACTTCTTTGGCAATTAATATTTTTGGTGTGGTGTGTAAGACTTTGTAAGTTAAGTAGTTGTTACACTGAATGTTTTGTTAGCATTAGCTTATTCCTTTTAATGTTTATATGGTCTTTTTAAAACTGTTTACACATTTTATAAACCATGTTCACTATGATCCTGTCAACTAATACTAAGGGTAACCACTTGATTATTTTTACATCATTTGACTCTGATATAATATATAATATTCACACTTTGATCCCTTTGGGACAAATAAAGAGTAAATGCCATTTCCAGGCCAAAATTAGAGTGGACACTTTCTTCTGCCTCAGCATTGTATTTGTTAGACCAGATTGAAAACTATGCATATTCTGATTAAAGGCTATATTTTATATTTTTCAGTAGTTATTTTTAAGTATTTATGTTTAAATTCCAAAATGATGATAAATGACTTAAAAATGGCTGGAGTTGTTTACAGAGAGTCTGTGGTTATAGCAGAATTTTCCTATGGAAAAACTACTAAAAATCTATACTATGTCAAGCTTTACTCAGTTGTTATCAGTAAAGTATATTTCTCTTGAATTCCAAACAAAGTAGGAATAACTTTCCAGTTTAAAACACTAGCATTGCTATGAGTTTAAGTTGTAATGTTATATACTATGATATATACCCATCTTTCTGACCATGGTTTAATTTTTCTTAAAGTGTTTGATATTGATTTTAATTTTTAGAAATAAATACTTAAATGTGTAGGAGGCAGTCGATTTTGGTTTTATAGTTACCATAGGGAAGGTATAGTGCCTTTGGGATGGTGGCAATAATTTGATCCTTTGTTTCACTTTGTTTTATTCTGGTTGTAGGTAAGGAGCATTGGTAAAATTTAGTTGCTTTGGATTTATCCTTTGGATTTATCTAAATCCTTTTATCACCATTTATTAACTGTTTGTTGTTTTAGGACCTGATCCCAACCTTGAAGAAAGCCCTAAAAGAAAAAATATTACATATGAGGAATTAAGGAATAAGAACAGAGAGTCATATGAAGTAACTTTAACACAAAAGACTGACCCCTCAGTCAGGCCTATGCAGGAAAGAGTGCCCAAAAAAGAAGGTATGACAGTTCAGTCCGACACTTTACTCCTTAGGATCAAAGACTGAAACATTAGTTTAAAACATTAATTATAGCAGTATGTGATTTAATTCTTAAAGCAGTTAACTCAAATTATTTTGTAAAGAATAGTTATTTCAGTTACCAGTTTTTTTCATATTAAGGTGTTCCAAAGATCATTTTGTGTTAGAAAATAATGAAGTCCAAATAGGCTTAAGATGGTGGGCTAGTTTTGTAATACAACATAGAAATTCTATACCCACTTGGCTGTTTTTCCCTTGTACAAGTTGCCTTGGGAATTGATTGTCTTTTCCTAATGATGCATCTATTACAGAGCCAGATCTGGCAACCTGAGATTGGTATTGGGTGGTGATGCCACTGTTGGCAGGACCACAGAGCTGTGGTTGAGTAGTAAGAATGAGTCATATGCCTTACTGGCTCTTAGGGAATTTTCAGAAGAGGAATTTGGCTTTTCAGCAAAATCTTTTTAAAAATAATTACTTGTAAATTTGTAAATCATGGTTTCTTTTAGGTCCTTTTGAAACAGCTGTACATTACCCAAAGTACATTTTCTGACACAGAAGTTTACCTTTAAGGAAGATAGCATTTTGAATAGGGTTTTGTAACTATTTCAGTGTAAAATCTTAGGATTTCTCTCTTAAGAAATTATTACTTTAAAAATCAAAGGAAGGAATAAGTATCTTTTGTACCGTTTTGACAGTCTCATGCCACAAAGAATACAAAAATTGTCAGTATTTGTTAATGATTATTTTTTAGAGCTAACTTTATTTCTGATTGTTAGTGGTTGTTTCATTTAGAATTGTTTCTATAACAATTATAATTCTATGTCACTATTGATGTAAAAATCTGACTTTGAAATGGATTTGTGATCTACCACACTTGTTAATGTTTGTCATTAAAAAACTTAACATAAACTTTATGCATCCATTACTCTAAAATGTAAAGACTTAGGGTACCTTGTTCTACTAATGAATTTGAAGATTTAGACTGTAAGCTCCATGAGAGCAGAAAGTAGTATTTTTCTAATTTTTATAATCTTTTATATGTTTGCACACCATAGTACTTTGTACTCTGTCAGAAATGGAATATTTTCATTGCATCTTAGACAGTAATACATTAAGAAAAAGAAATGTGTTAGACCTTTAGCATTTGCTGGAATTCAGCATCTGTGGTTTTGACCGTGAACAGTTTTGAAGTTTTGTTGCGTGATACAGTACTGTGGAATGATGGAGGCTGTTTTTCTTGTAATGGAAAGCTCCTTTTTTCTTTTTTGCATTTTTTTTGCGTTTTATATAATTTAAAGCAAAGACCTGTTATGAAATAGCTTAGTGGTTATTTAGAATATTGAATCCAAACAGAAAATTTGACATTAGTACTGAATCAGAAAGTATCACTTAAGTTGTCAGCTTTTGTTTATTTATCTAATTAGAAATTAAGACTGAAGAATTTTTTTTTTTTTTTTTAATTTTTTAGTTGAAGTCTCACTCTGTGGCCCAGGCTGGAGTGTAGTGGCATGCTAATGGCCACTGCATCCTTGACTTGCTGGGCTCAGGTGATCCTTTCACCTCAGCTTTCCAAGTAGCTGGAATCACAGGTGTGTGCCACCATGCCCAGCCTATTCTTTGATTTATTGTATTGACGAGGTCTCGCCCAGTTGCCCAGGCTGGTCTCGAACTCCTGGGCTCAGGCAATCCTTATGCCTCTGCCTCCCATAGTGCTGGGATTACAGGCATGAGCCACCGTGCCTGGCCACTGCTGAGAAATTTTTAAAACCCAAGCATGTATTCCATTTGCTGTCAGAGCAATGTTACCACACATTATTTAGCATCTAGAAAGTTCTCTCATATACTCAGAATGAAAGCGAAGGGAAAAGACAAAATTCCCTTTGGAAAAGAGTCACTATAATAATGAAATAATTTTGACTTCATGTATTCCTTGACAAGCATCACGGCAATAAGCTTAACATTGTATGTTTACTTGGGTCTTCTGAAGACAGAGGTTAAGTGGAAGAGAAGCTAAAAAGGAAAAGTAGAAAAGAGAGTGACACATGTTTTAAGATCAAGTTTTATGTATGATATTGGAATATTGGAAGCTATTTGCTTCCCGTGGTGGTATCACAACTCATGGGAGAGAAGATTGAATTAGCCACCCTGAAGACTTGACCATTTTTATTACTGTATTTTCTGTGGAGAAAATCCAAGTGTCTTTTTACTTTTTCTTCTTTTTTCTTTTTGTATATGCTATAATATATACCACACTTACAGTAAAGATATAAAGATCCCCAGGCCTTGGACCTAAGAAGACCTGTTTTCAAATCTCACTTCTCCTTGTTAGGGCTTACACCTTGGGCAAGTTACTAATCTTTTTCACCCTTAAAATGAGAGTTGTATTTACTTGCTAAAAGGCTGTTAGAGGACCAAGTGTTTATGTAAGTTCACGATACAGTGCATTGTAGTTAGGCCCAGGCAGCCAGCCAGCCCCTTTTTATAATCACAGCTTGGCCCTTATGTGCTTTTCCTCAAATGAGAGGAACATAACACTTATAATAGTGCCTTTTACTTATTACTGTTTGGAATCATCAATTATTTGTGCTTTTTTCCCAGTCAAAGTAAACAAATACGGAGATACTTGGGATGAGTGAAACATTCCATCCTTGGACCTGCTGGAGGAGGGTTAGTGGCCAGCTCCATCCGGGTGGTCCTGAGTTCCTGCATGCCCTGAGCTCTGCAGTCTTCATAAACACATTTACAACAAGATCCTGGGCTTTTGTGGTTTGATTTACGATGCTGTAAAAAACAGAGGTTTTAGTGTTAATATTGTGTAAATGTCCTCACCTGGGGAGGAGTGATGTGAATGGTGGTTTTATACCACAATCATATAGTCTGTGAAATTGTTTAAAGTTACAGGGCAGAGATGCTCTTACACAACTGTCGAGAGATTGTAATGCTCCAGAATCAACATATGTGAACATTACTGCTATCTGCATGTTGAATTGGGGTGGGGGGGAGCAAGCATCATTATAAGTGTTACGCTTTACACCAAAAAATTATTAAAAGCCTTTATTCAGTATTTGCTGTATTACCTTAATATTTGTGGCAAATAAAATGTAAAGGAACATGGATGTTACTTTGACTTGGTGAGTGATCATTCGTGCTGTTGTAGTGAGTGTGTTCTGTGGGGCTGGCATGTCATCCGTGAGTGGGAATGATATGGTAGATGTTCATTAGGTAAATCCATGTACAGGAAAGATCTAAATGTCTTTGAAAACGCCAAGTGGTTGTGTTCAGGAACTCTACCAATTTCAAGGGCACAGTATTTGATAGGCAGTTGGCCCCGCATACCCATGGGTCTCACATTCACAGATTCAACCAAGGAACCTTATCAAAAACATTCAGGAACACAAAACAGGTGATTGTTTATGTACTGATGTGTACAGACCTCTTGTCATTATTCCTTGAACAAGACAGCATTGAACAATTGCATTAGGTATTGCAAGTGGTCCGGAGAAGACTTAAAGATTGGGAGGATGTGCGTAGGTGATACCCTCTTACAAGGGACTTGAGCATCTGTGGGTTTTGGTGTCCTGGGGTGCCTGGAACCAGCCCCTTGCAAATCTAAGGGACAACTGTATTTTCTTCATCACTTACCTTGTTTGTTTCTGGTTCCAGTGAATTGAACATAAAATTATGGTCTCATCTGAGTTATTCGTATGCTATGTTTCTTCCAGAAATACCTTTTCATTAACAGTTGCTGTAAATCATCCCAGAACTTAGTGGCTTAAAACAGCAGTCATTTATCACCTCTCAACTTTATGTGAGTAAGGAATTCAGGCTTCGGCTAGCGGGTCGGGCCCTGGGTCCCTTAGGCTGGCAGCCGGATGGGATGCGGGATGAGCAGAAATGGGTGTGGTGCATCAGGCCTGGCGGGACTTGCCTTCCAGGGCTTTCCTGTGTCTCAGTGCCTTGGGCTCCTCGTGGTGTGGTGTGCGTGCTCAGGGCAGTCACACCCTCCATGTCTGTAGGACTGTTCAGGGCTCCGGTGCAACACCCACAAACATGTTTAAGGCTGTATTCTACGTGTGACAGCCACCAGTCCCATGGTGTGACTTCCATGCAAGCCTGCACGTCAAATGGCAGCCACACAGGCTTCCCAACCAGGCATGCTCCAAATCACAGGTAGACAGTGTGGCCATGTGATAAACATCCCTCGAGTGCACGATGAATGTGTCCCCTTCTCAGAACTCCGCTTGTTGGCCCGTATGGCAGCTCCAAGCCAGAGCCCTCCCCCAGCTGGGGCAGGTAAGGACAAGGCTCCCCCGTGACTCCTCATCTAAGACCTGAACTTGGGCCAGGAGTGACCTGCACTGCTCACCCCAGTACAGTAACCTATTAGGCCTAACATCTCTACTCCAAGTGTTCCATTCAAAAGGAAAGGTGTTCCTTATCTAAAGCAGGGCCATGTCCAGCCACCTTGTGGCCTCTGGGGTTAGGACATGGCTCCCAGGCTCCGCCCAGCTGTTGAGCCCTGCCCTGGGACGTTCCTTGTCTATGGCATAGTTCGCATGTGCAGCCCAGTCGTGTTTTTTAGCCTGTTCTCGCAGAAGTGGATCCAAAGGCCCCTTGTCTATACATCCCTGTCCAAGCCGATGTGACTGTTTTAATCTGTGAATGTCTCATGTGTCAACTGATGATCCATCCTGGGCACAGCAGCCCACTGAAATCTTTAGAAACAGCCTTTTCTATGTCCTGGCTCCTTGTGAAACTGATGAATGGCATGCTTAAGACTCCAAGAAGCCTTGGGCAGGGTTTCCGAGGAGGCATACCTAAGAGGTGGAGGGCTGGTGCATGTCTGTGCAGGGCCTAAGCCACCTCATCTCTCGAGGCCTTGAATGGAAGCGTTTTTTTGTTTTGTTTTGCTTCGAATAGTAGTTTCACTTACCCAGGTTGAAGTTCAGTGGCTTGATCACCGTTACCACAGCCTCAACAAGCTGGGCTCAGGCGATCCTTCCACCTCAGCCTTCCAAGAAGCTGGAACCATAGGTGTACGTCACCATGCCTGGCTAATTTTTTGATTTATTGTAAAGACACCATCTCGCCAAGTTACCCAGGCAGGTCTCGAACCCCTGGGCTCAGGCAGTAATCTCTCCTCAGCCTCCCAAAGTGCTGGGATTATAGGCGTGTGCCACTGCGCCTGACTGAATGGAGGGTCTTGCTGGCCCCTTTGGATCTGGTCTTTGTCTAGAAGCCACTTCTAAACATGAGGGCACTTCCCGGTACGAAGGCCCGTTCTGAGACTTGGTGTTTCTTCCTCTGCCCATTGGGGAACTGAACAGTTTGTTCCTTAGACTGCCTCTCCCCTCGCTTACTCAGCTCAAGAAAGCCAGCGCCCAGGCTTTGCGTTACCTGAACGTCTTAGCTGTATCAGGTTCACCAGGTGCATTCTCCCTTTCGGTGATGTTTAGACTTGCTGCCTGCTTGGAGAGGGCCTTCCTTCCAGCCCCCAGGAGTGTGCGCCTCACTTTCCTCTGTCATCAGCGTCCCCCTTGCCAGCCCTCAGCCTTCTGCCGACCCTCCTCAAGGCCATTAGGTTGCTGTTGACAGCCTAAGGTCCCACCAGCATCCATCTGCCACTTGGTCCCAAATGAATGGCATGTTTGAGGTTTCTGTTATGGCAACGACTTGCTCCAGTTGCCAAGTCTTTGGGCCAGGATTTAATGGAACAGCAGAACTGCCCTGGTTGATGGGGGCAGGGGGTTTACCCCTGGGATTAGGTCTGGGGCAATGATGGGGCTGGGGTCCGTTTACAGGCCATGGCCTGGGCATCCAGTCTTGGGCATGTTCAGAAGGGAGATGGGGCGACCGAGGCCCACGTTTGGGACTGGGGCACACTCCGTCTCAGTCTCACCTTTTACCTAAGGAAGGTCACACAAGCCCATGGTCAAGAAGCCAGGTGAGTCTTCCCCCATTCCCAGCAGGAAGGACATGGAGATTATGGAGCAAGAGGTCTGGACGTGGCACAGAGGGGCCAGTGACAAGCTACTGTGTGATTCGATGACATGTTCTCAGGCTGCATCCATGCTGGTGGTGGTCGCTACCATCCTTTGAGTGGTGATTGTGAACCAAGTGCTGTTCTCAGTATTTTGTAAGTATCAGCCTATTTAATTCTCAGGAGCAACGAATCAGTTTGATGCTATTTCCATTTCACAGATGAGGAAACCAGAGCCCAGAGCAGATAAATAACCCTAAACCAGGTAGCCGGTAAGTGATGAGGGAGGCCTGGGTTTGTGGCACAGGGCCTGGTGGGAATTTACTCTTGCCAACCAACATTTCTAGTGCCTGAAACAAAAGGTATGATTGTCCTGTTCTTGTCCAAACAGGTTGATGCATTTTTGGAGTCAGTGTGAGGACGCCACAGACCAAAGTGTGTCCAAGACCAGGTTGTGATAGGATTGGTCCAGTGGTTGATAAAACTGGGGTCTTTAGGCAGAATTCCAAGAGACAGGCTTCCAGTATTGAGAAGCCATTCTGTGAAAGGAATGAGAATTGTGTTTGTAGCCCCAGGGAGGTCACAGGTTTAAGCTGACAGACATTCATGAAGTGCCTGGATTGGCCAGAGGCCTGCTGGGGATTCAGAGATGAGAGATAAGGGAAAGCCTCACTTCCTGTCCTGTGGGCATTTCTGGTCTGGAAACGGGGAGGCTGAGACCTTTGAAGAACAAGCCAGTCCAGCCGGGATGCTGCGCTGCACTGCGTGCCCTCTCCTTGGGAGGGTCCTTGGAAGTCCTGAAATCCCACCCCAGGAGTGCAGAGGGTACTTCCACAGTGGATGGTAGAGGGCTGGGAGGGCTGCCATGCCAGGAACTGGTGATGAGAAACTCCAGGAAGAGAGGGACCCTTAATGGTCACTGCTGTGTTCCTAGGGCTGAGGACACTTCCTGACCAGCACGGGACTCTGTATTTGAATATAGGCAGGGATGTGATAGTGGAAAGCCAGATTTCACAGAAAACCTGTACTTGTTTGCATTAAAAATTGGAAAGACTGGACAACAGTGGCCTGCACATTTGTGAAGATACCTGTGAGCTTGACGTGCCACTGGCCTGGTGTCACTCAGTCACCTTGTTGGCCTGGGCTTGGCAGGCTCTTCATCACTGAGATCTCGACCAACTTGAAATGTCCATAACATGGAATCTTATAGCTGAAATCTGGGAGTAGGGTTCCAAAATGGACAAGTTTTCTGTCAATTAACAGACTGCATCATCTGAATACCAAGAAGTCACCTCCGTGACATATGCCTCACATTCCATCATCTAATCAAATCATTCAAGACAAATGTTTATTTCATAATGTTAACAGAAAATAGATAAATCACCTGTTTTGATAGCAAGGGAAGAGAAGATATGTTTAAATGAGAATTTTTGGCCGGGCTCTGTGGCTCAGCCTGTAATTCCAGCACTTTAGGAGGCCGAGGCGAGTGGATTGCCTGAGTCTACAGGTTCGAGACCAACCAGGGCAACTTGGTGAGACCTTGTCTCTACAATAAATCAAAAATTAGCCGAGTGTGGTATGTATACCTGTAGTTCTGGCTACTTGGAAGACTGAGGTGGAAGGATTGCTGGAGCCCAGTGGGTCAACACTGGGGTGGCCATGAGTATGCCACTGCACTCCAGCCTGAGTGACAGAGTGAGACTCCACCTCAAAAAGAAAAAAAGGAGATGAGAATTTAAAAAATATAAGCATATACAGTTATCCCGTGCTGCATATTTATACTTGTATATGTAATATACAGTATAATATATATAACATATAAATCTTCCTGGAAGCCGGGCTCAGGGGCTCAACCTGTAATCCCGCGCCTTTGGGAAGCTGAGATGAGTGGATTGCCTGAGCCCGCGGGTCGAGACCCGCCTGGGCAGGCGAGACTTCATCTCTACAATAAATCAAAAAAATTAGCCAGACGTGGTAGCGCGGGCCTGTAATTCTGGCTACTCGCAAGGCCGAGGTGGAAAGATCGTCGGAGCCCAGAAGGTCGAAGGCTGAGGCGAAGGATCGCCGGAGCTCAGCAGGTCGAGGCTGCGGTGGCTGGGAGCGGCCACTGCACTCCAGTCTGGGCGACAGAATGAGATTCCAACTCAAAAAAAAAAAAAAAGAAAAAAAAATCTTCCTGGAAAATCTGATGTATTTTGATAAGAGAAGCATACAAAAGGATTATTTCACTATTCTATAAATTGTGAAATACATTTTTTTTTTTTTGAGTCGGAGTCTCACTCTGTCACCCAGACTGGAGTGCAGTGGCTGCTCCCGGCCACCGCAGCCTCGACCTGCTGGGCTCCGGCGATCCTTCCGCCTCAGCCTTCCGAGTAGCTGGAACTACAGGCGCGTGCTACCATGCCCGGCTGATTTTTTGATTTGTTGTAGAGATGAGGTCTCGCCAAGTTACCCAGGCAGGTCTCGAACCTGCGGGCTCAGGCAATCCACTCACCTCAGCCTCCCAAAGGCGCGGGATTACAGGCTGAGCCACCGAGCCCATTCGTGAAATACATTTTATGCAAAATACAGTTTATAGCAGCAAGTTATGAACTTCAGGATCAAACACAAACTAAGACAAGATCTAGGAACAAATGACCATCTTAGCTAATGGTGGGATGTTTGATTCATGCCTTAGCAAATAAAAGTATGCCTGGGCGCAGTGGCTCATGCCTGTAGTCCCAGCACTTTCGATCCCCAAGGAGGATCTCTTGGGGCCAGGAGTTCGAGACCAGCCTGGGCAATGTAGCAAGACCCTTATCTTTATTTTAAAAATTAAAATTCAAAAAAAGGAAGTTAAAGGTCTCTTGAAAGGATCGTTTCTCATCATTCACTCCTGTGTAAGCAAAGACAGGGACACATGACTGGACATCACGAGTGCCAGAAGGATCATGGACTTGAAGACATCATCATGATGTTTGCTAGATGGCTAAGATCACCCTCATTCTCAGTGTCTTCCCTGCTAGAAACCTCTCACTCCGCTGTCTAGAGAAACTGCGGATAGGTTAGGCCAGGTTTGTGGATTTCAGACACCAAGTCTGTCTCTTCTTATGGGTACATCCATGGATAAAGTACCAATGTTAAATTTCAGATTTCATTCATCAAATTCCAAATAACGGGATATATCCCATTTTCTTCACTCTAGAATATCAGTCCATATCATCGCAGGAAGAGTTTGCCCATGAGGTTGGCTCGATGTCCAACCTTCACCGCCATGAAATCCTGTGAGTCCTTTCTTTGTGCAAGTGTGTTTTCTTTTTGCATTATGAAGGCACAGCTTTCACAGTCTTCTGACCAGTTTTGAGATGAGTGCTGGTCACTGCAAAATGCTAAACACAGGGTCTGCTCCTTGAACAAGAGGTGCTCCCCAGCACCTGCTTCCTGTGGGTACCACTGGCAGGCGGCAGAGTCCTAACTCCCTGGACGGACTATTGATTTCCCTTCACACCAAGAGAGATCACCACGATAAACTGCGTCGGTGAGTGACTTCCCCATGCAGAAAGAGCAGAAGGCCTGAGCAGTAGACCTGATTTGACAGAACTACAGTGACAGCAGGAAAAACAAGCTCCTTTCAGCCATAATAAGCATGCCTTTCCCCAGGACCACACACCAAACCAACATCAGCTCGCTGTGCTCAGCAATGTGAAAATGTTCAGATCCCTGGGAAGTCATTTTCTGAGATGCAGGAGAGCAATGTGCCCTGTTCTGAATTTTTGCCAATAGCTGAGATACAAAGAATCACCAGTGGCTGGTTGTCAGAGCCAAGAGTTAACTGCTTCCCCGAGAAGCCAGGAAATTGACTTTGCATTCTGATTTACAGAAACAGAACTTAATTAACTGAAAACACAGAGTATGTAATATAAAAGGAAGTTTACACTTAATATTCATGTAAAAAATAAAACTTCCAAATGTTTTTAATGTTTAAAAAATAAATGATATCACTATTAGCTGGGCACAGTCACACCTGTAATCCCAGCGAGGCTGAAGCAAGAGGATCACTAAGCCAGGAGTTCAAGACCAGCCTGGCCAACGTAGTGAGACTGTTTCTACAAAAGATTTTTTAAAATTTATTTTTTATTTTATTTTAAAGATATGAGGTACAATTCAGGATAAGGTCCTCATCATACAGGTAAAGTTTGGGCCTCCCTTGGTCCCCACTTTGTCTGGTTTGAGATCAGTTCCCTTATTGATATTGTGTGCCCCCCTACAAAAGATTTTTTAAAATTAGCTGGGCATGGTGGTGCATGCTTGTAGTCTTGTCTACTTGGGAGGCTGAGCCAGGATCATCCCTGGAACCCAGGGGTTGGAGGTTGCAGTAAGCTATGATAATACCACCGTAAACCAGCCTGGGTGATAGAGTGAGACCCTATGTCTAAAAAAAAAAAAAGAATAAAATATTTCACTATTAACTTGTAACGAAGTTTCCCTTTTTGCCTCTGTGGTCCAGGCTTCAAGATGTATGAAGTAAACCCTACCATGAGCATGCACCCCTTGTATGTAAACAGGGACCATTTGGGAGTTATTCTCTTTGCAAAGGTATGAGGGAGGTTTCTGTGCAGACTCAGATAACCTACCCTCAAACTACATGTTCCCATATGGAAGGATTTTTTTTCTTGCAACAAACCTGACAGGAGAATGGGAGCATGACCCCTGGAGTTGCATCAGCTGTCTCTGAAATTCCACAAGTTCTGAGTTTATCATTCTATGAATTAATTCTTCAAGTGACTCTTCCCGGAAATAAACTGTTCCTTGGGAGAAGGAGGGATAACCTGGGAAGGTGTTTTCATTTTTATTTTTTTTGTTTTTGTTTTGAGTTGGGGTCTCACTCTGTTGCCCAGGTGGGAGTGCAGTGGCATGATCACAGCTCACCGCAGCCTCAACCTCCTGGGCTCAGGCAATCCTTCCGCCTCAGCCTCCCAAGTAGCTGGGACTTCAGGCGCATGCCACCACCCCTGGCTGATTTTTTTGATTTATAGAGAGACATGGTCTCGCTATGTTGCCCAAGCTGATCTCAAACCCCTGGGCTGAATAAATTCTCCTGCCTCGGCCTCCCAAAGTACTGGAATCACAGGCAAGAGCCACCACACCGGCCTATTCTCTCAGGCCACTAGCAGTACACACAAGAACCCCGTTGTTAAGTGCCAACTCGAGTGCATGCAGTTTTAGCCAAGTAGGTAACCAGAAGATGAGGGTGTTTCCAAGATACCCCATACTTGTGACCACGGAGCCCTAAGAAGACAGCTAGTTTCTCATGACCCTCTCCTGAAGTTAATCTCAGCCCTCCTTGGAGGAAGCCTTTCCTATGCTAAGAGGGAAGCACACTGGCCTCATGTTCCTGTCTCCATGCACATTCACCTTCAAGTAATGACTTTCCAGCTTCCTCGGCATTCATTCCTGCCCTCCATCAGAGAACTTAAAAGTCTAAGAAAAAGCGGAGTAAGAGAAAGGGTCGAATCAGCCACAGAAGACTCAGTTTCCGCCCTCAGATGGGAGCACCTCTTTTGTGTGTGGGGGACTCCTCCCAACATGTGTTTTTTGTTTGTTTGTTTTGGGGTTTTTTTGAGTCAGAGTCTCAAGCTCACAACCTCGACCTGCTGGGCTTAGGTGATCCACCTCAGCCTTCCAGGTAGCTGGAACCACAGGCACATGCCACCACACCCGGCTAATTTTTTTTTTAATTGTAGAGACAAGGTCTCACCAAGTTTCCCAGGCTGTCTCAGACCTCTGGGCTCAGGCAATCCTCTCGCCTCTGCCTCCCAAAGTGTTGGGATTATAGGCATGAGCCACCATGCCCATCCATTCTTTTTTTTTTTTTTAAAGACAGGGTCTCCCTCTGATGTCCAGGCTGGAGTGCAGTGGCATAATCATAATTCACTGCAGTCTTGATTTCCTGGACTCAGGCGATCCTCCCGCCTCAGCCTCCCTGGTAGCTAGGACCACAGAGATGTGCCACCATGCCTGGCTAAATTTTGTATTTTTTGTATCACTATAGCTTGAACTTCTGGCCTCAAGTGATCCTCCCACCTCGGCCTCCCAAAGTGAGCCACCGCCCCCAGCCCCAATATGTTCTTCAAGAGCAGAAAGCCATGGTGCGATGCCCCGTTCAACTGAGACCCTTCCCAGGGAGCATTTTTCTTTTTTTTAGAAAGTAGGATTTATTAAGACAGAAAAGTTCCACAGCAAGAGGGCACCTGAAAGAAGGTTGTCCCCAGGAAGAATTTCAATGAGTGAGTCACAAGGATTTTGTTCCACCAGAAGTATTTTAATTTAATGTACACTTGGATGTGTGGATGTGTGCACACTCAGAGGCTCAGACAGCTTTGCAAGCCTGGACATGGAGTCAGGAGGTGGAAGGCTGCGGCCCTGCCTTCTCGCCAAGGCCACGCTTGGTTTTGCATTCCTCACAGGTGAGCAGGCAGTGCCTGGAAGACAAGCAGAGTAGGTGGTGTTTGCACTTGGGCACTGGAGGTGCCAGGCTGAACTCCACAGTGTTCAGGGACAGCATCTAAGCTCATGTCCACCTGCTAATTCTGTCCAAAATAACAGTTTTTTTCTTGGTTTAAGACCCCCAGAATTTCATTAAAAAAAAAAAAAAGCCCATAATGATCTTTATGTCAAAACAGACGGTTGTATTTGCGGTCAAGGACACACAGGGGCTGAACGTCTTGATTATTTTTGAATGTAATTCCTGCCAATAGCAATTCACCCAGGATTTCCCTAGATGCCCCTGGAGTTAGTTGTGAACATGCACATATGCACACATGTAATTAAGTTAAAAAAGATAAGTGGCACTTCCAGGATTCCTGGCTTATAACTGCCTGACTCGTGCCGTTTCCGTAGGATCCAGCCTGATAGCAAAGGAGATGCGCAGCTTTGTTCCAGAGGATTCCCCACGCACATGAGAGGAATCCTTGGCTCCCCTGTATTCGAGCTGTAGAATCTTATAAATTCGATTCCACAGACATTTCCTGAGAATCTGAAGGGAGCATCTGTTGGGGGAGTTTGCAATGGGAGGATTTTTCTCTTAATTTATTGAGCCAAGTTCTTACTATGTTACCCAGGCTGGTTTTCAACTTCTGGGCTCAAGCTATCCTCCCACCTCAGCCTCCCAAAGTGCCAGGATTACAGGTGTGAGCCAGCATGCCAGTCCTCATTAGGGTATTCTTTAAAGATTTGCACAGTGCCTTGAATATAGTAGGTGCTCATTAAATATTTATTGGGCAAGCAAAACAGGTAACGAGAGCCAGATTGAAAGCGGGTAGCAACAGCTCTGAACTTGAGGGTTAAAAAGTTTGTTTTTTTGGTTTTTTTTGGTAACATACGAGTTTTTAAAATGTATTTAATATTATAAATGGTGAGTGATCTTTCATTTAATTTTTTATAATTTTCTTCATTACGATCCATCAGACAGATGACACACCTGTTGTGTTCTGGACCAAATCCAGCCCCACGGAGTTGATCTTCAAAACAATGGAATTTACTCTGGCATACTCCTATGTAGGAGATCTTCCCAAGGCCAAAGCCCAGGATCCCAGCAACTGTAAAAGTAGGTTAGGAAAGATAGATAACTTATAGGTTCCAGAAACTTCTCCATTAGTTATCTTCTAGAACTTTCTTTAAGTAGTAAAAATTATTTTTATTTTTTGAGTCTGGGTCTCGCTCTGCTCCCCAGGCTGGAGTGCTATGGCACGATCACAGCTCACTACAGCCTTGACCTCCTGGTTCAGGTGATCCTCTCACCTCAGCCTCCCAAGTAGCTGGGCTACAGGCATGCACCACCATACCTGGCTTATTTTTACTTTTTTTTTTGTAGAGACAGGGTCTCACTATGTTGCTTAGGCTGGTCTTGAGCTCCTGGGCTCACACAGTCCTCCTGCCTCGGTCTCCTAAAGTGCTGGAATTACAGGCATGAGCCACGGCATCCAGCCCAGATTTTTAACAAATTACCCATTTTTTAAAATGTCCATTGCAGAAAATATTTTTATAAGACTGGCCAGGCCAAGAGAAGAAAACAAAAATCCCTAACAGAGCTATTATTCAGAGACCCTGTAATTGAATCTTGTCATACATCCGGACAGTCCCCCGAGTCTATGCTTTAAAAAGGCTGTCTAAGGAGAAGTCCCACTTAGACACGGGCCACAGGACATCAGAAAGAGGATCCATCAAGAAATGCAGAGGCAGAAAACAGGGACCACTCCTTTGAGTCAGTGTGGACAGTTTTGTTAAGCTGGACACTCACATCTCCGGTTCTAGAAACATCTTTAAGAAAAAATGAATCTGCCTTTTTATGTCTGTGACTTACGTGCAACTTTAGGCAATGATCCAAATCTAGGATTGGCTGCTAGGTAACCTGCGAGTGATATGTAAAGGCATTATTATTGCATTTTATAACTCATTTAAATGTATAAAGCATAAAGAAGACTTTGACATTTAAGATTTAACATTTCTTACATGTTAACACGCATATTCTGAATGTTAAAAGAGGATCCTAAAAGGGTTATGATTCAGTTCTTGGTGTTAACTCCCAGACAGCATCTTAGCAAAAATAGCATGAATATATAGTGAAAGAATATGAAACAGATGGTCCAAGACTAACGTAAAGACATCGAGCAGGGGCAACTGACCCATGAGCTTGAAGTCAGCCATCACCTTCTTTCTCTCTCTCTCCTTTTTCTTTTTGAGTCAGGGTCTCACTTTGTCACCCCAGCTGGAGTTGGGGTCTTGCTCTGTCACCCAGGCTGGAGGGCAGTGGCACCGCCTTGGCTCCTTGCAGCCTTGATGAGCCTCATCATCCCAGGCTCACCACAGCCTCGACCTGCTGGGCTCTGGCAATCCTCCTGCCTCAGCCTCCTGAGTAGCTGGAGCATCGGCTTCCCAAGGTGCTGGAATTACAGGTGTGAGCCACTGTGCCCAGCCACTCTCTTATCTTTTTAAGCAACTCAACATAGGCAGTTTCAAGGTAGAGAGATTCCTGATGTCACCATTTTTATTTTTATTTTTTTTATTTTTTTAGTTGGAGTCTCACTCCGTCACCCAGACTGGAGTGCAGTGGCTGCTCCCGGCCACTGCAGCCTCGACCTGCTGGGCTCCAGCGATCCTTCTGCCTCAGCCTTCCGAGTAGCCGGAATTACAGGCATGCACTACCATGCCCGGCTAATTTTTTTGATTTATTGTAGAGATGAGGTCTCGCCTGCCCAGGCGGGTCTCGAACCCGCGGGCTCAGGCAATCCACTCACCTCAGCCTCCCAAAGGCGCGGGCTTTGCCACTGAGCCCGGCTGATGTCACCATTTTTAGATGAAAACATCGCAATGTGCTAAAGCCGTCCTCATCCCCATTCTTGGAAAATGTGACTCTATTAACACATAATGCGAATATATCAAATGTAAGTACAGTCCTCATGTAAAGGGGTTTCGAGGGAAAATAGAATTAAGGTTGCTCATAAGAGGCCTTTCCAATAGGGGTCCCAGCCAAGTCAGGTGGGCCCAGTGTGATCAGTGACCCTTGGATGCAGATGAGGGAACTGCAGACAGAACCCGAGAGATGGCCACATGGGAGGGACCATTTCAGTACTGCTGACCTTGAAGACATAGGAGAGGAGGGGCCATCACCCCGGGATGGGTGTGGCTCCACAGCTGGATGAGGAACAGGGAGGCTATGACAGAACGGAGGGCCTGCCCATGTGTGGTTTTAGTCCAGGGAGACCCTCTTCATGCCTCAGGACGGAAGATGGCAACTCTGTGTTGTTCTCAAGCCGCTGCATTTGTAGCAACTTATCACAGCAACATAGAAAATCAATACACAACCCGGAAGAATGCATTTGCGTAGATCAAGAGATGGCAGGTGCCTTCGTCTGCTTTTTGCTGCTACAACAGAATGCCATAGACTGGGTGATTGACTGATTTGAGTTGGGGTCTTTCTCTGTCACCTAGGCTGGTTCACTGCAGCCTTGATCAGGCTCATCATCCCGGGCTCAGGTGATCCTTCTGCATCAGCCTCCTGAGTAGATGAGACTACAGGCGTGTGCCACCACACCTGCTTTATTTTTAAATTTTTTTTATATTTTTATATTTTTTATTTTTTTGAGTTGGAGTCTCACTCTGTCTCCCAGACTGGAGTGCAGTGGCTGCTCCTGGCCACCACAGCCTCGCCTGCTGGGCTCTGGCGATCCTTCCGCCTCAGCCTTCCAAGTAGCTGGAACTACAGGTGTGCACTACCACACCCGGCTGATTTTTTGATTTATTGTAGAGATGAGGTCTCGCTGCCCAGGCGGGTCTCGAACCCGCGGGCTCAGGCAATCCACTCACTTCAGCCTCCCAAAGGTGTGGGATTACAGGCTGAGCCACTGAGCCTGGCTTATTTTTATTTTTAAAGATTTTCACGGAGACAAGGTCTTGCTATGTTGCTCAGGCTGGTCTCAAACTCCTGGGCTCAAGCAGTCCTCCTGCCTCAGCGTCCTGAAGTGCTGGGATTACAGGCATGAGCTACCATAACCAGGAAGGGTAATTTATAAATAACAGAAGGTTATTTGGCTCACGTTTCTGGAGCTGGGAAGTCCAAGAGTGTGATGCTAGCATCTGGGGAGGTTCAGCTCATGGCAAGGAAGAGCAGGAAACAGAGCTAGAGACAAGGAGGTTGAACTCATCCTCTTATCAGGAACCCACTTCCACAGTAATGCATTAATCCATTCATGAGTTCAGAGTCCTTGTGACCTAAGCAGGTCCACCTCTTACCACTGTTATAATGGTGATTACATTTCAACATGAGTTTTGGAGGGGGCACTCAAACCACAATAGTAGATTGAGTAGTTTACTATTTATAAAACACAATCCCCATAGTTGTCCCAGCCATATTTTTTCCATGTCAAAATGAGCAGTCTTGTTACCAATGGATAAATATATTTCTATGAAAAGGCTATCTTCAGGTTATAAAAATAAAACCAGCCAGGTGTAGTGGCTCACACCTGTAATCCTGGCACATTGAGAGACAGAGGCAAGAGGATTACCTGAGCCCATGGGTTTAAGACCAGCATGGGCAACACAGAGAGACCTCGTCTCTATAATAAATTAAAAAAAAAAAAAAGAGCTGGGTGTGGTGGCCCATGCCTGTAGTACCAGCTACTTGAGGTGGAAGGATCACCTGAGCCCAGCAGGTTGAGGCTGCAGTGGCCATGAGCAGTGTGCCACTGCACTCCAGCCTGGGTGACAGAGTGAGACTCCAACTCAAAAATCAAAAAAATATATATAATACGTGACCTTTATGGGCAAGAATATATTGATTGAGGTGGAATTCTCTTAGACATATGACACAGGTGGTCTCTGAGGCCCCAAAAAGAGCCAGGACGTTTCCCCCATGTTTGCAGGGTGCAAATGCTCCTTGTAGAATCCTGGTTATCAGCGGTGTTGAATAAAGTGGGTGGAGAGCAGACAAGGTGCCTTCCTATTCCCTGGTGGGAACAACGTCTGTGGGTCCTATGGTCAAGTGGAGAGAGGGGGAGAGAGGAGGATGAGGAAGGAGGAACAGAGAGGTGGGTAAGAGCACATGAAGAGGCAGGGAGGGTCTCCATGGAGGCTGCTGTCCTCACAGTCCCCTGTGTGAAGTTGACAGGGTGCCCATCCTAGGGCAGACAGAGCCTCTGAGAACCAGTGGCTTGGTGGACACCACTTGGGGTGGCATTTGGTCCCCATACCTACTCCCGGGAACTCCCTTGTGTAGGCAGCGATCTGTTCAGCCATAGGCAGAGGTCCTGGGCCACATGGGGACTCTCAGCTCTCCATGGCGGCTGTGACAAATGGCCCCAAACGTGACAGCTTAAGGCCACACCAATGTGACATCTCATAGTTTCTCAAGGGCAGTGGTCCACCATGGGCCTTGCTGGGTGAAAGCCAGGGTTCCAGTCATGCTCCCGAAGAAGGAAGCATTCTTTCTGGAAGTCCCGGGCTTCTTGCCTTCCCAGTCTCCAGAGGTCACCCACACTCCCTCGTGCCCAGCCCTCTCTCCTCCACCTCAAAGCCAGCAGTGCTGAGCCAAGTCCTCACACGGCCGTCTTTCTCACTCCATCTTCTGATCCCCTCTTTCACTTTGTTATTTCTTTTTTTAAATTATTATTTATTTATTTATTATTATTATTATTTTTTTTTTTGCGTTGAAGTCTCACTCTGTTGCCCAGACTGGAGTGCAGTGGCCGCTCCCGGCCACCGCAGCCTCGACCTGCTGGGCTCCGGCGATCCTTCTGCCTCAGCCTTCCGAGTAGCCGGAATTACAGGCATGCGCTACCACGCCCGGCTGATTTTTTGATTTATTGTAGAGGTGAGGTCTCGTTGCCCAGGTGGGTCTCGAACCCGCGGGCTCAGGCAATCCACTCACTTCAGCTTCCCAAAGGTGCGGGATTACAGGCTGAGCCACCAAGCCCAGCTCACTTTGTTATATCTAAGAGACAGGGTCTCTGTCGCCCAGGCTAGACTACAGTGACGTGATCATGGCTCACTACAGCCTCAGTCTCTAGGGTTCCAGTGGTCCTCCCTCCTCAGCCTCTCAAGTAGCTGGGACTACAGGTTCACACCACCATGTCAGGCTAATTTTTTGATTTTTTTTTTGTAGCGTCAAGGTCTTGCTGTGTTGCCCAGGCTGGTCTTGAACTCCTGGGCTCAAGCAATTCCCCCCACCTCGGCCTCTCAAAGTGCTGGGATCACAAGAGGGAGCCACTGTGCCCAGCCCTCTCTTTCACTTTTAAGGACCCTTTTCATGAGACTGGGCCCAGCTGTGTCATCCAGGATAGTCTCCCCATTTTAAGATTAGCTGTTTAGCAATCGTTATTACAGTAACTCATTCAGGGGAGGCAGGGACTAAAGCTGAAAATTGGCAGAAGCCTCTATACATAAATCCTTCATCAAAAAGTAGACACCAACTGGGGCATAGAAACCTGGGTTCCCTGAAGTTAAATTATTGAACAAATGCTGAACCTTACCTTGGTGGACTAGCCCCTGGGTGACAAGCATGCTTACTAGGGAAAAAGGCAGAGCTGGAAAACAAAAACATCCTTCAGTGTGGGTGTTTCAACACTTGGCACCTCACCTAGACGTCAGGGGAATGACTGAGTTTTTCTCTTAACTTCCTGGGCAGTTTTTATGCATCTGTTATTTTTCTTATTCAAGAATTATTTATGTATGTATTTATGTATTTATTTTGAATCCAGTTTTCACTCTATTGCCTAGGCCAGAGTGCAGTGGCTCAATCATGGTTCACCAAAGCCTCAACTTTCTGGGCTCAAGCGACCTCCCTCCTTAGCCTCCTGAATAGCTCAGACTACAGGTGTATATCACCACACCTGGCTGATTTTTTATTTTTAATTTTAGACATGAGGTCTGGTTTTGCTGTGTTGCCCAGGCTGGTCTTGAGCTCCTGGGCTCAAGCAGTCCTCTCGCTTCGGCCTCCCAAAATGCTAGGATTACAGGTGTGAGCCACTGCACCTGTACCTGGCCTAACTGTGCCATCTGCAAATAAAGAATCACAGTCGTTTTCAATTGGAAGAGATCTTCACACACAGCCTGAATTCACACCCCCGTCTTACACGAGGCAGGTTCTGACACAGGAAGTGACTCAGCAGAAAAGCTTATTTCAGAGACAGCATAAGAGTAGTTTTAATGGAATACTGCCATTTTTTTACTCAATCAACAAACATCTACTACACATTTCCTACGCATGTGGCACTGTGCTAGGCTCCCGGATGAAGTCCCAGATGAACCTACCACTATTTCTGAGCTCTGAGAAACATGAAGTCCAGTGGAACTTAGCAAAGTCCACACTTTGGGAGTCAAGACATTCCGGATTGTACTCTCAGCACAGATTCTTGGACACGTAAGGGAGCTTTGTGTGCTCCACTTTTGCTAAGTGAGGTAAAGTGCTCCTTAAGCAGATATTATCTCTGCCCTGAAAAAGGTCTCAACATGGACTTAAACTCTACAGCTCCCCAAACATCAAAGTTTTTCAGGTATTTATGCAAAGTTCCTGCTCAAAAATAAATCATGACCACAATTGTGATCTGATATTTTTGCAGCAAATGCAGTGTGAGCTAAGGCTAAGAGGGTGCAGTTACCTCTCTTCCAGAAGCTTTCTTCTTGACATTCCCGCATAATCTTTGCAATCTCTCCTCTGTGGATGTGTAGCTTTGACTTTGGACAGAACAGCAGGCTCTGTAAGGAAGGGGACAGGTGAGTCAGCCGAGGGCCATGTGTTGCAGGTTGGTAAGAAGACTTTATCAAAACAGCTGCAGATTTAGAAAGGTCAATTTATGAAGGGGAAGATCCCTCGCAAAGGGCAGAATGAGTAGAGGTAGCAGGAGCGTTGCTGTCTGCAGAGACGCAGAGGCCGGAGGGATACTTTTATAAGAGGGGAATCAGGGTCTAGTGACCCGGAGAGTTGCCTTTTGGGAAATCTGCAAAAGAAAATTTCCAGAGGTTTGTGAAGCGGCTGATTGATGGTGGTTTGCTGCTTTAAGATAAGGTTAGTTAACAGTAATTGTTAACTAGCCACAAATGGGTAACTGCTTTTGCTTATTGCAAATGTTTTTCAGCTGGCTGACCAGATTTTCCAGCTCTCGCTGACCTCAAGGTCCTCTTTTTAGATATAATTTACTCACTGTCATTGGCCTCACTGGGCCACATACACCGAAAGCATCAGAAAGTAACTGCTTTGTTTTCTTTTTTCTTTCTTTTTTTTTTTGAGTTGGAGTCTCATCTCACTCTGTCGTCCAGGCACACTCATGGTCACCACAGCCTTGACCTACTGGGCTCAGGGGATCCTTCTGCCTCAGTCTTCCAATTAGCTGGAACTACAGGCACGCACTATCACACTCAGCTAATTTTTTTTATTTATTGTAGAGACGAGGTCTCGCCAGGTTACTCAGGCTGGTCTCAAACCCTGGGCTCAGGCAATCCTCTCGCCTTGGCTTCCTAATGTGCTGGCATTATAGGGCTTGAGCCACAGCACCCAGTCAGCTGTTTCGTTTTCTCTGGAGGACAGGGTGTCTCTCCCTTGAACGAATGTGTGTTCTGTGCTGGGGTAGCCTGGAGCCATGACTGGCTTCCCAGAGAGCTGGGAAGGCCAAGGGACTTGGGCCAGGAAAGAATTCCAGCTGGGGAGTCAGAGTGAATTGTCGCCGAGTGTGCAAGGGGTAGGGGTCTAGTGAGGCTGACCGCTGTGGAGGCCACGTCTCCGTTCTCATCTCCATGCCTCAGACCATGCCATTCCCACACCTAGAATGGTGTTCAGTCCCTTCTCCCACCTGATCCTTAAGTATTGAGACTGAGTGAAGAGAGATTTCCCTTCCAGCACCATATTTAGACATCGAGCATCACTCAGAGACCAGGATACAAGTCATTGACTTATGTGCACCTGTCTAGGTGCATTTTTACACTGGGAACTCACCAATGGACTGCTTTTTATTTATTTATTTGAGTTGGGGTCTCACTCAGTCGCCCAGGGTGGAGTGCAGTGGCACGATCACAGCTCACCACAGCCTCAAACTGTCGGGCTCAGGTGATCCTCCCACTTCAGCCCCCTAAGTAGCTGGGACCATAGGTGCATACCATCACACCTGGCTAGTTTTTTGATGTTTTGTAGAGATGAGGTCTCACTGTGTTGCCCCAGCTGGTCTTGAACTCCTGGGTGCAAGCAATCCTTTTGCCTTGGTCTCCCAAAGTGCTAGGATGACAGATGTGAGCCACTGTGCCCAGCCCAGACGGCTTTTTATTTTTCTATATAGTTGATCTTCAGTTTTGAAAGTTTCTTTTTTTCTTTTTTGAGACTGGGTCTCACTCTGTCATCCAGGCTGGGAGTGCAGTGGTACAATCATAGCTCACCATGGCCTTGACCACCTGGGCTCAATCAATCCCACCTCAGCTTCCTGAATAGCTGGGACTACAGGTACATGCCACCATACCTGGCTAATTTTTGCATTTATTTTATTTTTTTTAGAGATAAGGTCTTGCTATGTTGCCCAGGCTGGTCACGAACTCCTGGGATCAAGAAATCCTCCTGCCTCGGCCTCCCAAAGTGCTGGGGTGACAAGTGTGAGCTACTGTGCCCGGCTTGTAAGCTTTTGTTATATACTGGCTCATTAAACTTTTTTGTGGTAAAATACACATAATATTTGCTATTTTGACTATTTAAAGGATGCAATTCAGTGCATTGAGTATATCTACAGTGTGGTGCAGCCATCACCACTGTCTAGTTCCAGAACTGTTTCCTTACCCCAAAAAGAAAGCCCACAACATGACCCATTTTCCTTCTTCTCTCTTCCCCCTGGCCCCCTGGAGATAGCTCACCTGCTTCCTGTCTCTATGGATTTGCCTATTCTGGATATATATATATATATATATATATATTTTTTTTTTTTTTTCTAAATTTTTTTTTTTGAGTCGGAGTCTCACTCTGCTGCCCAGGCTGAAGTGCAGTGGCATGCTCATGGCCACTGCAGCCATCACACCCACCTATTTATTTATTTATTTATTGTAGAGATAAGGTCTTGTCAAGTTGCCCAGGGTGGTCTTACAGGTGTGAGCCACCATGCCTGGATATTCTGGATATTTTATAGAATCAAGCATCATGTGACTTTTTGTGGCCAGCATCATTTCCTCTGCATGTTTTCAAGGCTCACTGTGTGGTGGCATGTATTAGCATTGCATTCTTTTGCATGGCTTAATGATATTCTATTGAATGGATATACCACATTCTGTTAACCCACTTGTCCACCAGTGGATATTTGGGTTGTTTCAACCTTTTGGGTACTGTGAATAGAGCTGCTGTGCATATCCCTGTACTGATTTTTGTTGGATAAACCGTTTTCAATTCTGTTGGGTCTCTTGTCAATTTCATGTTTAACTTATTCAGGAATTGCAATGGCTGCACCATTTTATAATCCCACTAAGGTTGGATGAGAGTTCCGGTTTCTCTACATCTTTGCCAACACTTGTTATTATTAGTAGTATTTTTTGAGTTGGAGTCTCACTCCATTGCCCAGGCTGTAGTGCAGTGGCATGCTCATAGCCTGACATAGTGCCCAACCTGCTGGGCTTAGGCAATTCTTCTGCCTCAGCCTTCCTAGTAGCTGGAACTACAGGTGTGTGCTACCACACCCAGCTAATTTTTTTGCTTTATTGTAGAGATGAGGTCACACCATGTTGCCCAAGCTGGTGTTGAACCCATGGGCTCAGTCAATCCTCTCACCTCGGCCTCCCAAATGCTGGGATTACAGGCTTGAGCCACTGTGCCCAGCCAACACTTGTTATTTTCTAATTTTTAAAAAAGTTACAGCCATCTTAATGGGTGGGAAGTGGTATCTCACTGTGGTTTTGATTTGCATGTCCCTCATGGTTACTGACATGAAACATGTTTTCATTTCCTTCTTGGCCAGTCTGTGTATCTTCTATGGAGAAGAAGACCTTTCCTCATTTTTAATAGGGTTGTTTGTCTCTTTGTTGCTGAGTTGCAAGAATTCTTTATATGTTCTGGATACAAGGTCATTATCCAATATGATTTGCAAACAATTTCTCCAGTCCTGTGGGTAGTTCATTCAATTTTTAAACAATAAATTTTATGTAATATGTTCCTTGCTATAAAAGTCACACTTGTATATCCTTGTTTGTGAATTACTTACATAAGTCCTTTGCCACATATTTCTAGTTTCTAGTTCTTGTTGAGATGTGCCTATTAGAGACAGGGTCTCACTCTGTTGCCCAGGCTGGAGTGCGGTGGTGTGGGTTTGGCTCACTGCAGCCTCAACCTTCTGGACTCAGGTGATCCTCCTGCCTCACCCTTCTTGGTAGCTGGGATTACAGGTGTACTCCACCATGCCTGGCTCTTTAAAAAAATTTTTTAGAGACAGGGTCTTGCTATGTTGCCCAAGCTGGTCTCGAACTCCTGTCCTCCAGCAATCCTCCCACCTCATCCTCCCAAAGTGCTGGGACTACAGGCGTGAGCTGCTGTGCCTGGCCCTGATTTTTCTTTGGCCTTGCTGGCTTGCCACTGTCCTTCATGGGACTCCTGGTCTGTAGCAGGTGTCAGTGTGGACAATAGTCACCATCTCTTGAGCACTTCACCCAGGCCGGGCACTGCTACGTGCTTCACACACATGATGTCAGCGTGGGGGTGGGGGGACCCTAGGGCGCTGGAGCCTGTGAGCTGTACAAGCAACACCAGCAGGCAGCCTCTCTGTCACTCTCTGCCACTCTCCAAGGCTCAGTACAGAGACACCGTGAGTCACAGGGCAAGTCACAGCAGGGGGACCGTTACCCCACTCACCTCTTCCTATGTCCTCAGCACCGGCACGCCCACACACCCAGTGTGCTATTTGCTCTGCTCCTAGCTGCGGTGGGAACAAGGACCACCTCCCCAAATATACACACATAGACATACCCTAGCCATCACAACCGGGAGTCCTGCAGGCGAGGCTGAACTTCCCGCAGGGCTTCAGGGAGGCACTCTGGGAACCCTGTGTCGAGCAGCCATGAATGTTTGATGGCTCTCCATTTCACAGGGCAACTCGGGTGGCCAGACGCTGCCCCTTGGTACTGGATATCATCTGTCTGTTTGCTTCTCCTGACTTTACTCCTTAAACATCATCTCCCCTGTAAATTATTTTTAGCCCGAGAAGTAGACCCGGGAGAACATGAACCCATCCACCCATCTAACACTGACTCTCTCTCTCATCTCGTGTCCCGGAAGCAATTCTCCCATTCCTAACAAGCAGGACCACTGCACCCATGTCGACACTGGGTTCTCATTGCTGGCTAGCTGGTAAGTAGGACTCCACTGCCCTGGAGGGAACCTATGGCCACAGCACAGGACCAGTGAGCCTCAGTCTTGGACACGTAAACAAGCAAAACATGTAGTACTGCTCCATGCAGGAAGGAGCTTCGCTCTGCCTCCTCCAACCCCACAGTTCACCTAAGAGTTAGTTAAGCTGGATTCATTCATTCATTTATTTAGTCACGAAGTCTCGCTATATTGCCCAGGCTGATCTTGAACTCCTGGCTTCAAGCAATCCTCTTGCCTCAGCTCCCCAAAGTGCGAGCCAACACACCCAGCCTAAGCTGGATTCTAAGCAAGGAAAAGAATGGATTTTTAAAATAAATGTTTAAAATATATGTTTTCATGATGGCTGGAGACACGCTCTCCTTCCCTGTGCCACCATCCTTGAGCCTGTCCACCAAGGGGTAAGGCGGAGAGTAACACATGAGGTGACTGGGCAGGGATGAGGTTTCATGGAAGTCCTGTGGGATATTATTTGTCTGATGGGAGATCCCCGCCACTCAGTAAGAAATATACCTGCTTGCTGGGTGGTGGCAAATGGGGACCCTTGTCTTGGCTTCCATGAGTGGTTGCCATGGCGACCTCACGCTGGATCTTCGAGTCGGGCGGCCCGGCGCACACCTTGAGCCGATGTCTGAGGAAAGCAGAAGGGATCGTGATGCCACAACAGAATGTTAACAGCAAGCTAAGAACACCCCGAGCACCAGCTGCACTTATTTGGAAAGCCTAATTTCATTTTGTCATTAGTCCATCTGCAAACTCAATTTCCAGTGCTCTTCCACCAGACATGCATAGCTACTCACTAATGGGGACAGATCAGCTGCAGAGGAGGCGGAAATGCCACACTGTGCACAGTGCGATGTCTTATTGCCACAAGGTCACTGACTACACAAATACTTACTGAGGGTCTGTGATGTAAGGGGGCACGAAGAAGGATAAGACCAAAGTCACTGCTGGAGGAATTCACAGCAGAAAGGGAAGGTGAGTGAGTTGACAGTCACACAACACAAAAGGCTTCCCTGAGAGGCATGTGCAGGCAGCAGAGGCGGGGAGGAAGAAAGGTCCCTCCAGCCTAGTCAGGTCACCAGAGAGACTAAGGCTCCCGAGTCTTCCGGAGGATCATGGAGGGTGGATGGGCTCGGACAGGAGCCCTGGGCTGGAAGGTAACACCAGAGTCAAGGCGAGGGGTGACAGAGACCTGACTACCACCCTGGTGGGAAGGACAGAGATGGTGAATTTGGGTTTGGAAATGTTGGATTTGGATGCCCAGGGGCGTTGTGGAATTAGCCAGTAGAGATGAGGGTATCTGAGGATATGAGTCTGAGTTCTGGATGAGGGTGGACTGGAGAGAGGAGTCTGGAGATGAGAATTAAAGCAAGGAAGCTGGACGCATCTGTCTCAAAAGAGTACTGGAGAGTGTGGGCACCGAGCCCAAGGAAACAGCAACAAGGGAAGGAAGCGTCCATCAAACAGAAACAGACCAAGGCTGAGTGGATGGCTGGTGCAGGGGAGAGGGCGCTTCGGAGGGAGAGGGGGAGGGAGGGAGCCATCAAGGTGCCACATGGCTCAGAAAAGTGGCCCTCGACTTGGCAATGATAGACATTCTCCAGGTGGACTCTGACCCCTTCCCCTCCCCACCTCATGCCCACTGCATTCTGTGACTCTGGACTTCATGACTTCCTCTGGTCCTCCAGTGAAATGGACCTCTTATCACACACAATTCTGCTTCCTATATCAGTGATTCCACTGCAAGACGCCTGGGCCAGGGGACGACCACTGCCACCACCTTTCGCCTTAGGTGCCTCATGTGGAGGCAGCACAAGGCCCTGCGGCAGGAGGTCCTGGAGTTGGAAAGACCCGAGTTCCAATCCTGATTCGACACCTTGCTTGACCTGTGCTTTACGGCAAGGGACTTCATGTGTTTGTGCCCCAACTTTCTCACTTGTTAAGGGGGCTACTTGGACACAGAAATCTTGAGGGGCTGTTGCAAGGAAGAGGGATGCGGATTGGGGATGAGGGGTGAGGATGAAGGATGAGGATGAGAAATGAGGGATGAGGACAAGGGAAAAGGGATGAGGATGAGGCATGAGCTCCAGAGTCCCAGCGCACAGTGAGTGTGAGCAGTTGGCAGCTGTCAGAAGACTATGGGCACCTCGATTTCCCACGCCCAGGGAGTCTCTGGTGGCTTAAGGCCGGGTTAGATGACCTCTGCTCCTCAGTGAGAGGCTGCCCCACTGGGTGCTCGGAGGTCCCCAGTGCCTCCCTTGGGATCAGGCCCCTCCAGCCAGTTATCCTCATCCACACCGAGGGCCTTACCTGGCAGGTGCAGCACTCCCCACTCCCACCCTCCGTGGTCTGGGACAGGAAGGGCGGGTGCTCTCGGGGCAGTGGGGGCGGGGGAGGGGGC